AAGTGGCGCCCGACCAGAAACACCTCCAGTCTGGGCGCCCAGGGATCCACACATATACAAAATCACACTGAACCGATGCATGTTTAAACCAAATAAAAAAAGCAAACCACACAACTACGTACAACGAAACTACATACGTTTGTGTGCCCCTCTCACTCTATCTCTCTGTCTAATATAAGGAAATATCTCTAGAAGGTTTCAACGAAAGGACGCTCGCTTCTCGCCTCTATATATCGCTTACTGTGTCTGTCTTTATCCCCCACAAGACATTAACTAACCCGTGAAATACGAACCTCTGTGTCTCTATCTATCTGTTTAAAATAGGGCTGAGAAGGAGAAGAACGAGTACTACGGCCAGTTGAACGATCTGCGCGCCGGTGTCGACCACATTACCAACGAGAAGGTATTGAAATTGATCTCTATATATGCGTAATTGCTCTCAACGCGATGCTGTAAATTTAAATGCTGAAAGTTATAGTTTTTCCAAGTCAACATCTGTGTATAGTGTCAACGTAGTTGCAAAGCAACCAGACCGAAATATCCCTCGAAAAAAAATTATGTAAAAAAAACTAAAACGACCCACCACCACTAAAGTAATATCCACGCTTGATCTACTAACTCCATGCCTTGTACAGCACCTCACACGATACCAAAATGCCACACTTTCAACTGAGAAAAGTACCCAGCCGGAGTCGAGACTAATGAACCCATTTTCCAAAACCCATTCCCAAACAGGCTGCCCAGGAGAAGATCGCCAAGCAGCTGCAGCACACCCTCAACGAGGTGCAGTCGAAACTGGATGAGACCAACAGGACTCTGAACGACTTCGATGCCAGCAAGAAGAAGCTGTCCATTGAGAACTCCGATCTGCTCCGCCAGCTGGAGGAGGCCGAGTCCCAGGTGTCTCAGCTGTCCAAGATCAAGATCTCTCTGACCACCCAGTTGGAGGACACCAAGCGTCTGGCCGATGAGGAGTCGCGCGAGCGCGCCACCCTCCTGGGCAAGTTCCGCAACTTGGAGCACGACCTGGACAATCTGCGCGAGCAGGTTGAGGAGGAGGCTGAGGGCAAGGCCGATCTGCAGCGCCAGCTGTCCAAGGCTAACGCTGAGTCCCAGGTCTGGCGTAGCAAGTACGAGTCCGATGGCGTCGCCCGCTCTGAGGAGCTGGAGGAGGCCAAGAGGAAGCTGCAGGCCCGTCTGGCTGAGGCTGAGGAGACCATTGAGTCGCTCAACCAGAAGTGCATTGGCCTGGAGAAGACCAAGCAGCGCCTGTCCACCGAAGTGGAGGATCTGCAGCTGGAGGTGGACCGTGCCAACGCCATCGCCAACGCTGCCGAGAAGAAGCAGAAGGCCTTCGACAAGATCATCGGCGAGTGGAAGCTCAAGGTCGACGATCTGGCCGCCGAGCTGGATGCCTCCCAGAAGGAGTGCCGCAACTACTCCACCGAGTTGTTCCGTCTTAAGGGCGCCTACGAGGAGGGCCAGGAGCAGCTGGAGGCTGTGCGTCGTGAGAACAAGAACCTGGCTGATGAGGTCAAGGACCTGCTCGACCAGATCGGTGAGGGTGGCCGCAACATCCATGAGATCGAGAAGGCTCGCAAGCGCCTGGAGGCTGAGAAGGACGAGCTCCAGGCTGCCCTTGAGGAGGCTGAGGCCGCCCTTGAGCAGGAGGAGAACAAGGTGCTCCGCGCCCAGCTGGAGCTGTCCCAGGTGCGCCAGGAAATCGACCGCCGCATCCAGGAGAAGGAAGAGGAGTTCGAGAACACCCGCAAGAACCACCAGCGCGCCCTCGACTCCATGCAAGCCTCCCTCGAGGCTGAGGCCAAGGGCAAGGCTGAGGCCCTGCGCATGAAGAAGAAGCTGGAGGCTGACATCAACGAGCTGGAGATTGCTCTGGATCACGCCAACAAGGTGGGTTCTCACACTAGGTCTTATTAAACAAATAAGCTCTCGAACCAAGGATCCTTAATCTAAATCGCATTTGTTATTTGCTTTTTCCCCACTTTAGGCTAACGCCGAGGCCCAGAAGAACATCAAGCGTTACCAGCAGCAGTTGAAGGACATCCAGACTGCCCTCGAGGAGGAGCAGCGCGCCCGCGACGATGCCCGCGAACAGCTGGGTATCTCCGAGCGTCGTGCCAACGCTCTCCAGAACGAACTGGAGGAGTCGCGCACTCTGTTGGAGCAGGCCGACCGCGGCCGTCGCCAGGCCGAGCAGGAGCTGGCCGATGCCCACGAGCAGTTGAACGAGGTTTCCGCCCAGAACGCCTCCATCTCCGCTGCCAAGAGGAAGCTGGAGTCCGAGCTGCAGACCCTGCACTCCGACCTGGACGAGCTCCTCAACGAAGCCAAGAACTCCGAGGAGAAGGCCAAGAAGGCTATGGTCGATGCCGCCCGCCTGGCTGATGAGCTCCGCGCTGAGCAGGATCATGCCCAGACCCAGGAGAAATTGAGGAAGGCCCTTGAGCAGCAGATCAAGGAACTGCAGGTCCGTCTTGACGAGGCCGAGGCCAACGCCCTTAAGGGAGGCAAGAAGGCCATCCAGAAGCTGGAGCAGCGCGTCCGCGAGCTCGAGAACGAGCTGGATGGTGAGCAGAGGAGACACGCCGATGCCCAGAAGAACTTGCGCAAGTCCGAGCGCCGCGTCAAGGAGCTGAGCTTCCAGTCCGAGGAGGACCGCAAGAACCACGAACGCATGCAGGATCTGGTCGACAAGCTGCAACAGAAGATCAAGACATACAAGAGGCAGATCGAGGAGGCCGAGGAGATCGCCGCCCTCAACCTGGCCAAATTCCGCAAGGCTCAGCAGGAGCTGGAGGAGGCCGAGGAGCGTGCCGATCTGGCCGAGCAGGCCATCAGCAAATTCCGCGCCAAGGGACGTGCCGGTTCTGTCGGTCGTGGTGCCAGCCCAGCGGTAAGTCTCTAGAGTTTTCTCATCTACCTTTCATCATCCCCTAGAAGCCCTTTTACCTCTTAAGATTCTCCCGGATTTCCTCTGAGGAAACAAAAGGAAATGAAAAAGAAAACCCATAGAACCCTCGAAACCCTTTCACTCAAAAACACAGAGCCTCCATTTTGCTGCAATAGCCATCTATCTCACTCTCGCTCACGATCTCGTCGGATCAGATCAGTCTTTGAATAATGTGTATATTCTTCCCTTTCATATATGCTCTCCGCTTACCACAAAAAACAGATCTAAATCTGAGGCACCACCACCAAGTGAAAAAAATCTATATAGCGATCCAATTATGGTTCAATTACGATAATGAGAGAACAAAACCATGCAAAGAGAATTATAGCTTATAAGAATTATTATAAAATAAATACTAATAACAATAATATAGATGCATCATACGACATTCGCTAGCAGACAAAAATGTAAAAATTAGAGGCCACCCAAACCAAATCAGAAATCGAAGGATCAAATCATCGAATACCAACCAAAAATGCGTTCATTTTGACAGAAAACCAAACGAAAAGCAAGAAAAAAAGTAAAAGCTAAGCAATAAAAAATAAACAAGCAAGCAACCAACAGTAGCACAAGGCTAAATCAATCGAATTGCTTTCTCTACAACCATTTACAAAAACAATACTATTCTTCCACTATATTATTATAAACTGTATTTGTACATGTGTACTGCAGCCGACAGCGTCAAAGGGCCGCAAGAGCGCGCTGCTGGAGCAGTAGAAACTTTCTTGAAACATTTGTAAGTGGACGTGTGTGTGCACGTCTTGACCCGTTCTTGTTGTGTCGGAACTATTCCCCACCACTTCCTCTCACACATGCACCAGAAACTACTTAGTCAGTCAGCTCATCTCGTTATCTCGCTCGTTGTCGATCAAAATCATTCGTTACATTTTGTCGTCTCGTTATTGTCCTCTCTCATTCGACACTCGTCTACCCCAGTATGACACTATCTCTCTCTCGAAGAGCATTTACGTACGCTCACTTCGTACCTTGGTTATCGTTATTTCACCTTCGCTCTCGCTAGCGCTACGAAACGTGCTAAGAGAGTGCAAGGAGTTCTCGTTATCGTTTCTCGTTATCCCGATCAGTCAGTCAGCCCGAATTGGTGACTTGTCCCAACCCCAGCATGTTTATACTTTATAATTAAATGTGTTAACTAAACTAACTATTCTTCTCTCCGCTTCTATTCCACAGCCCCGTGCGACGTCCGTTAGGCCACAATTCGACGGATTGGCCTTCCCACCAAGATTCGACCTTGCTCCTGAAAACGAATTCTAAATGCCATTTCATTTTTTAATTTATTTTAAATGATATTTCATAATGATTATGTTTATGATTTTAATTTAATTTCTTAATTTAAAAACAAAATAATAAAACTATAACAAAATATATATCGAAAACGACGGGAGGCAAACCACCATCAACAACGCCAAATGCACTTAGGCAAAAAGAAAAACTAATTAACACCGAATCGATCCGATCACCATCGCTTAGCATCGATTAGCATACATAAGTGAACTGTGTAGCATCCACCGAGTAGGTCAGGCTTTTGTGTAAGCGCGACATTTCCCACGGGGACGCTGCTCGCGAGACCTGTATTGTATTTGTATTTATATATTTTTATACAACTTTCGAAATGCATTCAACCACCAACCAACTAACTATCAAAGAACCTTCGAATCTCGAGACACCACCCATGAGACAGATCGCGAATTGAGAGAGCCCCGTCAAAGTGAAGGCCCCGCGACGGCGTCCACCTTCGGTAAATGTCGCCCGCTGTTCGAACCTTTGTTCTATATGTATTCGCAAAGATATATTTGTCGTACAGACCGGACAAGACTCACGGACGACACGAGCTATACACTGCGCCTATGTTTATGTTTAACTTTTGATTCTATCAATCAATGATAATGAGATAAGATCATCACTCGACACTAAATGAAAAGTATACAAAAAAGGAACAAAATAAATGTAAATCAATTAAAAAAAAAAACATGGATTTTTATTTTATTAATTAATGAATGGGGATCTTTGGGGATCCAGTCAAGGAATATCGGAAAACTGGAAAGCATTGCTAAAAACTTCATTGTACTCCGACCTTACTTTTGATTTAGAAACACAACCGGTAAGAAATTCCAATATAATTTATTACCATTTTTAACAAGCTTCAACAAAAGTCAAAATTACCGTTTATGTTTAGCTTTTAATACTTCTACACACCGGTGGTTCGGAAAAGTGTTTTAATGCCGGAAACTAAAATGGCAAGCAAGGAAAATCGGGGCTGTGATTGCCGATGCAGGAACTCTCCTGGTTCGAAAACGGGTGCTTCCGGCGACCAACAGGGCACAATTGGGTTCCCCGTCAGGGACTCTTCCACTTCACAGTCCTCACCGAGATCGGATGCCAGTATGAAGGTCTTTACCAGCTTTATGCTGAACGCCTGGCGTCAGCGGCGCGAAGAGGTCCGCGATCTGCAGCAGGTGGTCCAGGGTCTTCAGAACAGCGTGAGTTTTTTCTTTTGAAAATTGGAAACTATCTCCAAAGAAATTGCAAGTAACGTTCCTTAAACTCGTAGTCCATGAAGACCAAAAACGAACTGCATGTTTTGAACACGGTGATGCGGGTGGAGGAGAAACGAAACAGCGAACTCCAAATGCAGCTGAATCAGTCTCACATGAGTATCAACAAGGTCCGCACGTCCTGTGAAAGCCTGACCAGTTCGGTTCAAAGCCTTACGGCTGAAAAAAATGAACTGTGTAAGGAACTGAATAAATCCAGGCAGGAGGTAAGATGGCTTGAGAAGTATATTTTTCCAGAAATATCATTAATTTCTTACATTGCAAATAATACTTTGCCGAATAGCTCAAAGATCTGGAAGAGATCTCGGGCCAAACCAAAAAGGAACTTTTTGGAGCCCTTTCGGAGCAGAGCAACCTGCAAAAACAGTTGTCCGAAGAGCAGCGATCAAGACATCAACTGCAGCTGGAAAATGAGGAACTGCTCAAGAAGGTCATCATGGCAGATTGCAAGAAAGCCCAGTATAAGAAGGCCAAGGAACAGGCCCAACAGGAACTGGCTGAAAGGGATGCAAGAATCCAAACTCTGAGAGCAGCACTCGAGGAGAAGCAACGGCATGGCAGCGAGTAAGTTATTTATAAATATTTAATTACTCATACGCACTGTTGTACAACGCTTACAACTAAGTGTATTATTTAGTTTCCTTTCTTGAAATTTAAAATTTTATATTGATTTCCATTCAGGCAAACCGCAGAGCTGGAAAGAATTAAGGCCCAGATCACGGAAATTTGCCATAGGAACACCAGCTCCAACTTCTTGAGTTTATGTTCGGCATCCATCAGCCGATTGAGTGTGACTCCTAGGACAAGTCAGGAAGTGTCGTCCTTCCAAAGATTACCATTATGGCAAAAGCTTCACCGGTTCTCCACAAATCTGATTTACCTGCTCCTTTCGTATTTCCGTCCAGGTGTCCCTTTGAGTCGTTCCCGCCACCTGCTATTGGTAAACATTATTTCGGGTTTGTTCCTATGATTCTTCTCTTATTATGTTATGTTTTTTAGGGCTAAAAATCAGGACGATAAACAATGGAAACAAAGTACCCAAAACGGGTTTTAGCCGTCACCGAAATACCCGAACGCACGAGTTGGATAAGAATTAAGTTAACTTTTCTTTTAAGACATGTATACAATTTCTAAAATTCTGGAAATTTTTGAAAAGTGCAAGCCCATTTAGAATCTAGAAAAATACTATAAAGGAGAATCGAAAGTAATATATAGAAAATTTAAACATATTCGTATTTTTCACAATTAATAAAATTGTATAAAAATTCAATAAATTATATGAGGTTCCAAAAAGGTTTCAGTTTATGTATAGAAATATTTGTGTTGGTGGAGTGAAATTTTTTTAAACAGAAGCAAACTTTGGCTTCCTGAAGTTGGCTTTCCTTTTGTTTTAGTTGAAACCCATATAAATATTGTCTTTATTAGTAAAAACTACCAAAGTATGTATTTATTTAATAACTTTTATTTCCACCCCCGGTCTCACTTTCCCGCTCCTGGAGCCCTGGGATTGGGCTCGATGCGCAGCAGCTGCTTGTGCTGACCGATCATGTGCTCGATGTGATTGCACTCGCGCAGGTGACCCTTGAACTCGTCCAGGGTCTCGTACAGCACCGGATAGAGGGCGGGCAAGAGACCATGATCCAGCGTGGGGAAGAGATGGTGAAGCACATGGTCACCGAAGTGGGTGAGAACAAGGAATTGCGATCCCTTGAGGTCGCCGCGATCGATGATCGTGTCCACCTGGAAGAGGCCCCAATCGCGATCCTCCCGATTGGCATCGCCCTCGTGGTAAATCTCCGGGTCGTGATGCGCCGCATTCAAACCGATCACGCAAAAGCTGAAGCTAGCGATCGACGTCATCGCTAGCCAAGTGCGAACGCAAACCCACAGGCCGAGGGATCCGCCAGTGCCCAGATAGATGGCTGCGGGAATACTCAGCGACAGCAGGTCGTGCCAGTACAAGATGTTCGTGTGGCGCAGCGAGTAGAAAATGCTGCAAAATCAAACATCATCTCAGATTAGGAATGGATTACGTCTACATCTACGTCGAAATAGTCAGCCAGTCACTCACCGTGTGCCTATTTGTATGAAGAAGGCCAGGGCATAGGCCACCGGCTCCGTCACCCAGGACACGTAGCGCATGATCTTGCTCTTGATGTGCGGATTGGGCACCCAACACAGCAGCGGCTCGAACATGGACAGCTCCAGGTCGAAGTAGGAGTTGGGGTAAATGTGGTGCGACAGGGCATGGGACACTCTCCAGGCGGCGAAGTTCATCATTCCCAGGTTAAAGGCGTACATCTGAAAATTGTCCCGGCGATGGAAGTAGTTGTGGGACACGATCACAGTCCAGCAGAGTGAAACACCTGCCAGAATCAGAGCCAAAAGGCTATTGAATTTGACACTGGCGATGCCAAAAATGTAGAGCGCAACTATCAAGCCGAACTGGATCAACTGTGTGGGATAAAAATCATATGATATTTTAGATCTCTACTTTCAAGATTACAGTTCAATATGAATTACATTTGGCCATTTCTGATAAGGAATTTTAATAAAACCCTCTTGAAGGTCTTATCAGTAGTAAAATATTTATAATAATTCTCTGACAGGTAAGTTACAAGTCAGATTTTTATTTATATTATGCTTCTGGCGCCGTAAGGCTCCCCTATCAATATGTAACTGATAAGAAATATATAACTGATATGAAATATATATTAATTACGAAACTTTACTAGCTATTTTTTCCGGCTTTTCTACGGTTCCACATTTTTTTAAGCATATAAAAATAGTGCTTGAAATTTGAATTGAATTAAACAATTGAATTAATTTTTCTAAAATCAGAACATCTAAATTTTTATATTTATATTAAAAACTTTCACGTCAAGGATAATAATATTAATCTTTTCATCAACACTCACATCACTCTTCCTTTTTGGACTCTTGTCGACGGTCTTTAGCTTTTCACGCACTCGCTCCTTAAGGGTCTTGTAGAAGCCCCCTTCCTCGAGGGTCAGGGTGTAGATCCTGGGCTCCGCTGCATCCCGCACTTTGTACTTGGCGATCATCTTTTCGGGTGTGCTCGTCAGATGGTGCGCCTCAAAAGCCTCGGTGATGTCCGTGCCCTTGGTTTCGCGAATCCAGAAGGCACCGCCGGGATGTTTGTCTATGAACTCGGTGAAGTCGTAGATGCCATCGTAGATTCGCCAGAGTCCTTCGGCCCGATCGTCCTCCCGCTTTCCCTTTTGCCAGCTGTGAGTGGTGATAAGGGGCGAGTTCCGGTAGGTGGGAAATTTGGTGGCGATGCCGCTCTTCTTCCACTCCTCGATAACCATTGTCCTTGGGTTTCTTGATCCTTTGATCCTTGGCAAACACTGCAAAGATCCAGCTACCGACTGGCCGCGCTTTCCGAAACAAACTAAGTGGAATCAGCCCTCGTTCGTCAGTTTTATGTGCTGCTAGAATCTTAGCAGATTATATAAACCGAGAATCGATTCGAATTTACAGACGAAACGTTTCCATTTTGATAAGATGTCCCTCTGCCTTATCAGTGCCGCTCTGTGGGGGCACAGCTGCCGTCTCGGAAATATTACGTCTGTTTTGTTTTGTATTTGAATTTTTTCTCACATTTATTCTTATCACAATTTCAAGAGGTGAAATCACAGTGTGGGCATGGTTATCGCTCCAGACTTTGCCAGCGGCAATAGGCCAGTGGTGGTGGTCATACAAATTTGAGGCTTCGCTTGGCTGGCACGAGTCTAGCCGAAAGCTATGACCATTGTTGGGGGTAGCCATGGATTGTTTATAATCTAATCGGCTCGGACCTTATGGAAATATTATGCTTTATGATTTAAGGAAATACAGGGTTCCTAAAAATCCGCTTGTACTAAGCATTTTTAAATGATATACCAGACACTTAAAAATCTTAAAAATAAAATATTGACCCAATTTTTACATTACTTTTATGGCACTAAAGACATTAATTATTTAGCGATGTGTAGAAGGTTAGTAAACTTGGCTGTTTATCAAGATAAGATTGAAAATTATAATTATTTCAGTATACCGAGGGCTCTCAATAGGAGCCCGGCATGGTGATAATAACAAAGTGATTTGAATACCATTACCATATTATATTTCAATTCCACTCGATCCATGATAGTGGCTAGTGAGAGAGACTGCACATAAAGCTCTCGATTAATGATACTCTCGGACCAGAGCTTTTCTAATTGATCGTGCGAGTGTGTGATACGAAAACAAAAGTCGAGCGACGCTCCAAATAAAAGTTTAGTAGCCAGCACTTCGTAAACAAACTCGGCGGTCGGTCTTCGCTGGGGTGCTCAGAGTGACCGGTTCCCCAGAGTGGGTATATTAAGTTGAACTTGGGAATCAATAGGCAAGTTATCAGCATTTTCTATACCTAAAATTAACTCCAATTATTATATGTGTTCATAGTTTAATCTATATAATGGCGCCCAATGTGAAAGAGGATGCCTGGAAGGTATCCGGAATATCTAGGACTTATCCGAGCTACCGCCAGCACAAACCCATCACGGGTGAAAGGTCGGTGGCTAACTATTTTAGGTTTCCCAAACAACTTATACAAGAAATACCACCTTTTAAGCTGGCTGGAGGGCAAAAATGCGGATGACGAAGCAGAAGGTCTTTGGCGCATTAACGATAAGCTCTACGACTTAACGGACTTTGCCGCTCGGCATCCGGGAGGAGCCTTCTGGATTGAGTCCACAAGGGGCACGGACATCACGGAGCCCTTCGAGTCGCATCACATCGAGGAGCGAGCCCGAGGAATGCTGAGCAAGTTCGAGGTGCGAAAGGCTTCAAAGCCGCGGAACTACAAGTTCACGCTGAAGGACGACGGTTTTTACATGACCCTGAAGCGGCGAGTGCGTGAAAAGCTAAGGAAACTGGATTACTCTCCTACCAAGAAAACGGAAGTAGGTTTATTACTACAATTTATATTCAATTAGTAATATCCCATTGTGATACTTGCAGTTTATAAGTATCTTAAATCGATGAAAATGTTGCTAGAATTATACATAATCTTTGATAAGCGAAATACCCATCCAAGTCAACTCATGATGACTATCAAGAATTTATTTTTTTATTCTTAATATGGCTTCTTTAAGCTGTATATGTATAGATTTAGATTTACTCTATTTATTGTGGTTTTGTAGACCAGCAAGGTCAATATTTCAAGCTCTGAGTGATTACGATTTATAGATAATATATGCAATTTAATTAATTAAAATATTTCCATACTTTTTAGTTTCTGCACTTGGGCATCCTGATCTCCGTCTTCCTATTCAGCTGGGCCGGCACAGTTCTTGACTCACTGCTCATCCGATCCCTAGCTGGTCTGGCTCTCTGTTGGGTGGCCACCTCCACGCACAACTACTTCCATCAGAGGGACAGTTGGCGGATGTACACCTTTAATCTGACGCTCATGAACTTCCGAAACTGGCGCATTTCGCACGCTCTGTCACACCATGTGTATGCGAACTCCCTGCATGATCTGGAGATGTCCATGTTTGAGCCCTTCATGTGCTGGATTCCCGGTCGCCAGTACGCCAGTAAAATGCAACGATGGATCTCAGTGGTAATCTCACCGGTGGTCTACGTATTTCTGTTCCAAGAACAAATTATATTGCGGTTAGTGGTGGTAATTCCTTATGTTTTCAAGAAATAACTTATTTTTATTTTTAGTTCTATTCTTTCCCTAACCAAGCGAAATCTTATGCATTGGGATGATCTAATAGGCTTTATCTTACCATCATTTCTCTATTTATCCACTGGAGTGGGCCTGAAAGCCTCTTTGATCAGCTGGCAGATCATCGTTGCCATAGGTAGCTTTATTTTTGGATTTGTGGGTCTTACTGCAGCCCATCACGACCCTCGAATCCTGCACGACGGCGACGCCCAACGTCCGGACTTCGATTGGGGGCTGTACCAGATGGACACGATCATTGATCGCGGAGACATCAAGTGGTCCGATCTTTTGGTCCTGACCCACTTTGGGGAACATGCGCTGCATCACCTGTTTCCAACCCTTGATCATGGTGTGCTGAAGCATCTCTATCCAGAATTGAGACAAACCATGAAAGAGTTCGACATGGAGCTGCGGGAGATCAATCACTGGGGTCACATCAAGGGCCAAAATCAGCAGTTGCTGAGGATGAATAGGAATCCACTGCCACCGGGAAGCAAGAAATTCAAGTAGGGTGAGGTTTAAAGGTCGATGGTAAATAAATAAAAAAACACACTTAATTATATAGTATGACGGTTCCTGATAGAATATTGCTGTGCAAAAGATCAAGCTTTAATTATACGATATGTTTTAATGAACTCGTTGCTTCACTCTTATAATTTCCTACTGAAGCCAAAGACTCTCTTAACTAAATTTTTCTCTTGTTTATCGCTTAATGTCTGGTGAGCATTTCCGCTTTTTTATGGTGTTTGTTATGATATCGTTATACGCTTTGTTTATAGTTTGCTTTTATCAGCTCTTTAAGTGGCTTCCAAATGTTTCTTGACTAGTTTGAGGTGAGAGTTCAGCGGGTGCCACCTGTAAGCCTGATTATTTTATAAATAGCGTCACATAAATGTTTGACTGCCTTTTTTTGGAGATATGGTCACTAAACCTACATATATTTTGCTGAGTCACGATGACCAGACGATGGGGAAACTACGCACATAAATCGATTTAAAACTGTATTGTTTTGGGTGCCTGGGAATTAAGAGAACTTAATACTAGGGAGAATACTGGGAATTTTTAGTGTAATACTTGTTTGAAATTATGTAAATATTTTCTAATATAATTACTATTAATTTTAAAGGTTTTGTTCAGGTAAATATAAAATTAAAAGTCATTTCCGTTATTGTCTTTTATTTTACCAAATAAAAATTCTTCTTCACAAGGTTACTATTTAACCCCACTCTTAAATTGTTTATATAAAATTGTATGACTAAGACTGTTTATATTAACCAGAAAGAAATTTCCAATGTATTATTATATAATTAATTATTTAGCTCAAGAAGTAAGAAGTATGCTTTGTTATTACAAAATTTGATTTATTCAGCAAAGAGTAGTAGAAGTAGTGGTCACCTATGCCCATCCTGTCTAAAATTCTCTTAAGCATGATTCTCTTTTTTATATGCTGCACGTATTCACTCTATATTTTATTGTTATTCTGTTATCAGAAAAATTTGGTAAGAGTTTGATTTCGAAAAGAGCCGATAAGCTAGCCGGCTGATTAAGCCAAGTTGATGCATAAAAACTCAAGTATATAGCAGGTTCCCGTCAGTTTAAAATTTCCTATTTACCAGAGAAGACGCTCCAAAAGAGAGGAAAATGTGGTCGGTTCGGTCCGTGTCTGTGCTGCTTCTGGCGGTGATAGCTTCGGCACAAGGAGCTAATATCCTGGGGCTCTTCAGCAGCCACAGTCAATCGCATCTGATCATTCACATGTCGGTGGCAAAGGCTCTGGCCGAGGCTGGACACAATGTGACCGTGGTGTCGATGATGCAGCCCAAAGTAATGCACAAAGATATTCATCTGATAGTGGTACCGGCAACGGAGGAGCAGGAGCGCATAATGGATGAACAGCTGACCACCATGGCGGGGCAGAAGAACTCAGCTATAAGCACTGTGAGCAGGCTATTGAGCGGAATGGATGTGATGATAAAAGCCCAGGCTGACCTGCTCTCCCACCCAAGTTTCCAGCGAATCTACGAGACCAAGTTCGATCTAATGATCATGGGGTACTTCCTCAATGATTTCCAGCTGGGAGTTGCACACAAGTTGAAGGTTCCGGTAATCATTGACTGGATGACAGCGCCTATTCCTCTAATGGACGAGATTACGGGTAATCCCTCAGAGCTCTCTTATGTGCCCAATATTGCCACCTCCGCCACGCAGCCCATGAGTTTACTGAAGCGAGCTGAGAATTTAGCTAAGCACCTAATTATTCAATACATGAAAATACTCTTTGATATTAAGGTGAGCCGAATATATGAAGACATTTTTGGAAAAGACGAAATTCTGCCGACTATAAGTGAGCTGAGACGAAATGTATCCATGGTGTTTGTCAACTGCCACTTGATCAGCGAAGGACCCATTCGACCCATGGTACCAGGACTGGTCGAGATCGGAGGCATACAGGTTAAGGATAAGGCGGATCCCTTGCGCAAGGATATTGCAGAATTTTTGGCCAAGTCTCCCCAAGGAGCCATTCTCCTCTCCCTCGGATCTAACATCAAGGGCACGGCGGTAAAACCTGAACTCATAAAGACCATCTTCAAAGTTCTTTCTGGTCTAAAGCAGAACGTGATCTGGAAGTGGGAGGAACTCGATAACACACCGGGTAACGCTTCCAACATTCTCTACAATAAGTGGCTGCCCCAAGATGATATCCTGGCACACCCCAATACCAAACTGTTTATCACCCATGCCGGAAAGGGTGGCATCACAGAGTCCCAGTACCATGGAGTGCCAATGGTGGCACTCCCTATTTTCGGCGATCAACCTGGAAACGCCGAGGTCATGCAAAGCGCAGGATATGGTCTGTCCCTCGACCTGCTATCAATTACTGAGGAGAGCCTTGGAGAGGCGCTCAAAGAAGTCCTGGAAAACGAGAAGTACACTAAAGCTGTTCGCAAGTTCTCTTCGCTCTACAGGGATCGGCCACTGACCGCCAAGCAATCGGTTCTTTACTGGACGGAGTACATCCTGCGGCATCATGGAGCTTCCCACCTGCAGAGTCCTGCGGTGCACATGAACTTTGTTGAGCTTTACAATTTGGATCTTTATGTTATACTGTTGTCGATCCTGTTTCTATTACTGATTATTTTGCGATTGGTTTTGAAGGCAATGTGGAGAAAATTAAGGGGAAAAAGGGAGAACCATTCAAAGAAACTAAAAACCCATTAAATTTGTATAAAATGCCTATTTTATTAGAAATTTTGTGTAAAAAAGCTAATAGTACCAATAAAAAAAAAACATATTAAAAGGCTATAATTATAATCAGTCGAGAGATTATCACTGTAAATAAAAAAGTTTATAAGATTTTAACGAATTTTGTACATATGGAAAGACTTTTCTTTACTTTTTTTTGCTTATTTTTTTCTTCAAAATATTTTAAATTTTATCTTGAACTATCATAATGGTCCTAATCCAAAAGTTAAGTTAATTTATTTAAGTGAATTAAATAACAGATTCTATAACCCCAAATGCTTATATAAAGTTTATTTATTTATTTTCTACTGTTACTACCCACTATTAATAAAGAGTCGAGTCAGTCCTCAAAGAGCAAGAAGATAAGAGTATCGCTCGAAATCAAAGAGAGTCGATTAGCGGATGACAATCATATTGGTGAATTTCCCATAAATAGGCAGACCAATAGACGTTCCCGCCAGTCTCTTATTTGCGTTTAACTGAAAAAGTAAAGCAAGAAGTTGATAAAATGTCGGCGACTTGTTCCGTATTTCTATTGCTGCTCGCGGTAGTAGCTTCAACCCAAGGCGCCAATATCTTGGGGCTCTTCAGCAGCCACAGTCAATCGCATCTGATCCTCCATATGTCGGTGGCCAAGACCCTGGCCGAGGCTGGACACAACGTGACGGTGGTGTCCATGATGCAGCCCAAAGTAATGCACAAGGATATTCACCTGATTGTAGTCCCGGTGACGGAGGAACAGGAGCGAACAATAGAAGACCAAATGAACACCATGGCGGGGCAGAAGAACTCAGTTTTTAGCACAATGTTTCGGCTAATGAACGGAATGAAAGTGATGATCGATTCTCAAGGAGAGCTGCTCTCCGACCCGAGGTTCCAACGTATATACGAGACCAAATTCGACCTGATGATTATGGGATACTTCATCAACGATTTCCAGTTGGGAGTTGCCAATAAACTGAAGGTTCCCGTAATCATTGACTGGATGGCAGCGCCCATGCCCATAATTGATTGGTTCACCGGTAATCCTGCGGAGTTGCCTTATGTTCCCATCCTGTCTACTGCCACCCATCCCATGAGCTTGGGAGCGCGTGCTCAGAACTTTGGCAAATATCTCTTTATGTCGTACATAACCAATCTGTTGGACTCCAAGGTGATTGGCATATACAAGGAGAACTTTGGAGAAGGAAAAGATCAGCCGACTTTAAACGAGCTACGAAAGAATATATCCATGGCCTTTGTCAACTGTCATTTGATCAGCGAAGGACCCATTCGACCCATGGTCCCAGGACTGGTCGAGATCGGAGGCATACAGGTTAAGGACAAGGCGGACTCCTTGCCCAAGGATATAGCAGAGTTTTTGGGCAAGTCCTCCCAAGGGGCTATTCTCCTCTCCCTTGGTTCCAACATCAAGAGCTCTGCAGTTAAACCAGAAATTATTCAGACCATCTTCAAAGTCCTTTCTGGTCTTAAACAGAACGTGATCTGGAAGTGGGAAGATCTGGAGAACACACCTGGCAATGCTGCCAACATTCTCTACAAGAAGTGGCTGCCCCAAGATGATATCCTGGCCCACCCCAATACCAAACTGTTTATCACCCATGCCGGAAAGGGTGGCATCACAGAGTCCCAGTACCATGGAGTGCCAATGGTGGCACTCCCTATTTTTGGCGATCAACCTGGAAACGCCGAGGTCATGCAAAGCGCAGGATACGGTCTGTCCCTCGACCTGCTATCGATAACTGAGGAGAGCCTTGGAGAGGCGCTCAAAGAAGTCCTGGAAAACGAGAAGTACACTAAAGCTGTTCGCAAGTTCTCTTCGCTCTACAGGGATCGGCCGTTGACCGCCAAACAGTCCGTTCTTTACTGGACAGAGTACATCCTGCGGCATCATGGAGCTCCTCATCTGCAGAGTCCAGCGGTACACATGAACTTTGTTGAGCGGTACAACATCGATCTCTACCTTATACTTTTTACGTTTCTGGCTGTAATAGTATTCCTACTTAGCCTGGTTTTGAAGTTCATTTGGAACAAACTAAGGGGCAAGACGATTACCTATAAGAAGATAAAGAATCAATAAATTATCGTATTGTAAATATGTATATTTATTATGTTTATTATTTATGTTCATTATGACTTTTTAGAGGCTAAAAATAATAATACAAATTAAATTAAAAACTTCTATATTGAATGATTTATTTATGTTATTTAATGGTTGAACTTTGGAGAATCATTATTACACCGCTTAAAAAGTTTCCATGCATAGCCTTATCTGTAAATATACATATGTTCTGCAGGCATTAATAGTGTTAAACAAGAGTTTCTTATCAACTTTTTTTCTTCGCAACTACCTTCTTTTTTAGTATTGTGTACAATAAATAAAATTAGTAGAATAGTAGTAGTAAGTAGCTAGCGAGATAACTTGTAGTTACGATAGTGTTTTGTTTGTTGTCAGGTTTGCCGTTTATTCAGTTTTAACCCATTTAATCATGACTCAGTTCCTAGACACGCGATACGCAGCCAGACCCTATCTCGAGGCGATAAAGACTGTAGGTTAGACCCTATACTTGTGATTGCTCCGTCACTGCGGCGCAGCAAAAGCAATTCATTCGAATTTAAAATGTTTGGATTGGTCACTCTCGCTCTATATCTCTACATATTCATAGGTATCAAAGCAATATAAACTCGCAGGCTCTCGACTTCAAAACTTAGTTGATAACTGCTATGTTTAGTGAAAGGTACTTACACTTACAATGAATAAATACTCAAGGATTTTGTGCATTTTGGTGTTACTTCTGGGCACAAAAGCTTACCCAATTGAAGGGGCCAACATTCTGGGCATCTTTGGCACCCATAGTCCCTCCCATGTGATAGTGCACATGGCTGTGATGAAAACCCTGGCGGATCGGGGTCACAACATCACCGTGGTTACGCAAATGAAGCCAAAGTTGGCGCCCCATGAAAATATTACCGTGATTCTTGCGCCGCCGACTCCGGAGCGGGAACAATTTATCAAGGAATATATGGCGGAAGCGTCCAATGAGAAGCCCTCTCTCTGGAAGACCATGGCCAAGGCTGTTATTCAGTCGGGAATACAACTGGAGGGTCAATATGAGTTTATGATGCACCCGAACTTAAAGAAGATCTACGAGAACCCTCAATCCAAATTCGATTTGGTATTCCTGGGCGCAATGGCCAATGACTTTCAGCTTGGAATTGCCGCCAAGCTACGCTGTCCAGTTATCATCACTTGGGTTGGAGTGCCCCTGCCCTTCATGGACTCCATTGTAGGCAATGTCAATGACCCATCCTACGTTCCCAGCGTCAATGTGGCCCTTGAAACCGGAAAAAGGACAATGGGATTCAGTCTGAGGTTCGGCAACCTCTTGAAGCATTCATTCCTATCAACTATCAATAAATTATTAAACTTCAAGATGAACCAGTTTTATGAGTAAGTAAATACAAGTAATTATAGTTTAATATTAATTTATAAATTTTCAAATAATTTTAAGGCGAGCTTTTGGCAATGAGTCAGACTCGGAGTTTCCCACCTACTATGAGATGAAGCGTCGCGTGTCCTTGCTGTTTTACAACTATCATGCTCCCAGCGAGGGACCTATTAGACCCACCGTTCCGCAATCCATTGAAATCGGTGGGATCCAGGTGAAGGAGAAACCCACTCCATTGCCTGAAGAACTCTCCGAGTTCCTCGACAACGCCAATGATGGAGCAATTTTCTTCAGTTTGGGCACCAATGTTGACACCAACACCATTCGACCCGAAATCGTGGATACCCTCTACAAGGTGTTCTCTAAAGTGCCTCAAAGAGTTGTGTGGAAGTGGGAGAATCTGCAAAACAAGCCGGGAAATTCCTCCAATATATACTTTAGCAACTGGCTGCCCCAGGACGATATTCTGGCCCACCCCAATACGAGACTGTTCGTAACCCATGCAGGCAAGGGAGGCGTGGCGGAGGCGCAGTTCCATGGAGTGCCCATGGTGGCACTGCCTCTCTTCGGAGATCAACAGGGCAATGCGGAGATAATGGTCAGATCTGGATTCGGTCGCTGGCTGGATATTCTCACCGTTACGCCGGAGGAACTGGAAGAGAGCATACTTGATGTCTTACACAACCCTGTGTATCGGGAGGCCATTGGAAAGTTTTCCTCCCTCTACAGGGATCGTCCACTGACGGCCCGGGAATCCGTGGTCTACTGGACCGAGTATGTCCTGCGACACCAGGGAGCCTATCACCTGCAAAGTCCCCTCATTCATATGGATTTTGTGGCCCGCAACAATATTGATGTTTATGGAGCAGTTTTGATCCTTTTACTTGCTACCTGCTGGCTACTCCTTGTCATATTCCAATGGCTATTTCGCAAGGTGTTTAGAGTTGTGCGTGGCCAGAATTATCGGAAAAGGGTGAAGCATGAAAAGCTTAAAGATAATTAACCATTGAACCTTCTAATCAATGCGTATACGTAATATCAGTTGGCGTTGTGAAATACTAAATATCACGAAATTAATGTGTTCTGAGCAGGGACAGTGATTAAATCGCTTTAGTTTGTTTTGTAATTAGGAAATACAGTATAGTTATTCATAATAAAATGTTTAAGCATACAGACATATATCCAAATATTCTTTAATTGTGTTTAATTGGAATGAATATGGGTGTTTATGTTCTCCATGTGGAGCTCCTCATTAAATAAACACAGATAACCAGAAAACAAGGGGCAAAAACCGCAAAAAATATGATAAAACTTGTTGAGAAAAAGAGAGTGACAAAAGCTTTGCTGGAAAGCATGACAAGGCACAACAGAGACATCCATTTAAGTTGATTGGTCGTAAACGGAGAGAGATATGGGTGAGCCTTGAAATTAATCGGTTGCCGTTTACAGTGTGTCGCATAAATGCCAAATAGTCTGAAATCTATTTAAACAAGAAAGGAAGCTAACTTCGGCACGCCGAAGTTTGTATACCCTTGCAGATTGGTTTTCATATTTATATTATAAATTATAATGCCGAAAACAGACACTAAACGGAGTTTCATAACATTTTACCTATACTTAATATGTTTACAGTTTGACAGTTACAGTTATACATTCCCAGCTTTACATTTTCTCTACATCTACGGATCACTTATATGGCAGCTATATTATATAGTTCTCCGATTTTCATAATATTGTTACCAAAATTCTGAAATAATACTAAAAGCTCATGTCTCAAAGTAGATGAAAATACGTTGAAAAACAACGAAGTTATAATTTTTTCTATCGCTTTCCCTATCGTTCCTACGGCAGCTATAAGATATAGTCGTCCGATTTTCATTAAATTTATACCAAAATTTTGAAATAATACCAGAAGCTCATGTCTCAAAGTAGATGAAAATACGTTGAAAAAGAACGAAGTTATAATTTTTTCTATTACCTTCCCTATCGTTCCTATGGCAGCTATAAGATATAGTGGTCCGATTTTCATAAAATTTTTACCAAAATTCAAAAGTAATATATAATGGCCATGTCTTAAAAATTGTGCAAAAATGTTAAAAAACATCCAAGTTATAATTTTTTTTCTAAAAATTTATCGAACATTTGTATGACAGCTATATGATATAGTCGTCCGATCCGGCCCGTTCCGACATATATAGCAGTGAGAGTATATAGAAGACTATATGTAAAGTTTCATTCAGATAGCTTTAAAACTGAGGGACTAGTTTGCGTAGAAACGGACAGACGGACAGACGGACGGACAGACGGACAGACGGACGGACAGACGGACATGGCTAGATCGACTCGGCTGGTGATGCTGATCAATAATATATATACTTTATAGGGTCGGAAACGTCTCCTTCACTGCGTTGCAAACTTCTGACTGAAATTATAATACCCTGCAAGGGTATAAAAAGTTAGTACATTTAAACGTATAAAACCATTGCATACTTTTGGCGACTAAAACCGGCAATATTTAACAGTTGTCTAAATTTATAGAATTAAAACACCAACAGAAAACTTTTCTCCTGTATTTAGTTCTACAAAATTTATTTTAAACAGCAAATATATTTTTCACACTGCAATAATTCTAGATTAATATATCATTCCTCCTGTAGACGGAATTTAATTCTTGGTAAAAAAAGCTTGTTGCTGTATAATGCTTATAACAGACAAGTTGATGGTCATAAACAATCGCGCTCTGCGATTAAACTCAAGTGCCGAGAATGACCTGCAGTGTGGCCTTTACTGTGATGTCATGCACCTTACACAACCCGGCAATTAATGGAATCAGCTACAATGCGCGGACCTAGAACAACACACAACTCGTACGCTCAACAGGTTGCTTCCACTCTCTGCCACTGCGTTTATTTATAGAAGAGCCCGCTCTCGGATTCTCCATATATCTCGCACTTTTCGAGAACGATTCCGATTCGTTTTGGATTCAATTCTCAGTGATTCGAGTGGCTCCGAGGCAGCGCGTGCCGAACGCGTATAGTTTTCAAAATTAGTTTTGCATTATTTAATGGTTTATTTGTCGTAGCTTTTCGCAGCTTGTTGTTTCTCTATACGAACGAGGTATTTTGAATTTCTATAATTGATTTGTCGGAGTCATCAAGGGAGAGTGCCAATTTCATGAACTAATCGTTAACCTCCAAAATGACATTGACAGTGAAAAAGGTTGCACTTTAACCTCTTTGTGTTAGCGGTGTATTTTCAAGTGAAGTGTGGGTGCCGGTTTTGTCTGGATTTTACTGAATGGAATACAATTTATTATAAAACAGTTATTTTAAAAAGTAAATAGGATAAACAAAATAAAATCTTGTTTAAAAATGTCATATTTAATGTGCTATAATTACTTTGTTTTATTTTAAAATTCGAGTAAAGTTTATACAGTTTGTTCAACCGCGGCCTGTTACCTCACAACTTTAACTTAATGCAACTAAATATGAGACAACAAATACCCACACTTTAAAGAAAAATAATAACAAAAAAATCGATAGCGAAACCTAACAACAGTTATCAGTTTATAATTATAGTAAACCTAACGTGTACACCTTTAACTTGCCCACGTCCGAATCTCACATTTAAATAGGTTTTTATAGAAATGTTTAACCAACGTGTTCTCTGTTTACTAGCCCACATTCAAACCTCCAAACGACGACTTTGACCAAGCAAACATTTTCGAAATTCATGCAGCTCTTGAATGGAAATATCTCTATTTTGCAGATTAAGGGAATCTTATCAGTCTGTTATCAACGCCGCCGACTGCGTATAAGATAGGTGCCGGCCGCCGGAGTTCCAGTCAGTTTTTCGTTGGACTTTAACGCGATCGGAGAAAATTATGGCGCCATCCCGGAGTACGTGGTTGGGCTGCAGTTTTGGCGGCCTTCTGGTTGCCCTTTTGGCCCTGCAGTCGATGCCCCAGGGCAGCGAAGGTTCCAATATCCTGGGCGTCTTCACCAGTCACAGTCCCTCGCACTTCATCGTTCACATGTCCATCATGAAGGCGCTGGCTGAGAAGGGCCACAACATAACGGTGGTCTCTTCCGTGCCGCCGAAGGTGACCCACAAGAGCATCAAGCACATTGTGATTCCCATGAGTGCCGCGGAGGAGAAGATCCTCAACGACGGCATGGCGGGGATGGTAAAAGAGAAGCCTTCAATTTGGACCACTATGAAGTCTATCTTCAGCTCGCTGGGTCTGCTTATTGACAAGCAGGTGGACGTGCTTGAGGACCACCGCTTCCAGGAGCTATACCTCAACAAGGGCAACAAGTTCGACGTTGTATTTGTCGGGTTCTTCTTCAACACCTACCAGGTGGCCCTGGGGGCCAGGTTTAACTGCCCCGTAATAATTTCTTGGTCAGGCCCACCCATGCTCATGGTCAACGAGGTGCTCGGCAATCCCGAGCTGTTCAGCGTTCCCCAAATGCAGATTGCTGTGGCTCCAGGAAAAGCCATGAACTTCCAGCAGAGGGCCCAAAATTTCGTCAGCACCCTAGGCTTCAATGCACTGAATGTCTACCTAAACAACAAATATCAAAAGTTCTACAAGTAAGTACATTCTATTCCGTTATCTACATTCTTGATTTGCCATTGTCAAGTACAAGTTTTTCTTTAACAATTTATAAAATTGTAGTTACCCAGAAAAAACTTCATGCATACTTTTCTTTACCTTCCAGTCGCCTTTGGGGCAACGACAAATCGATGCCCACCTTTGAGCAGGCCAAGAAGAATGTCTCTCTGGCTTTCTGCAATGGCCACGCCATCAGCGAAGGTCCCATCCGTCCCAATGTGCCTGGTATTATCGAGATTGGTGGCATCCAGGTGAAGAGCAAGCCCGATCCACTGCCGGAGGACATCAAGGAGTTCCTCGACAATGCAAAGAATGGAGCTATTCTCTTCAGTTTGGGTTCCAATTTAAAAGCAGAACACTTCAATTCGGACGTGGTGGGCAATGTTTTCAAGGGCTTGAGCGGCCTGAAACAGAAAGTAATTTGGAAGTGGGACGACCTTGAGAAGACCCCTGGCAAGGCGTCGAATATTCTCTACAAGAAGTGGCTGCCCCAGGACGATATCCTGGCTCACCCTAAGATAAAGCTATTCATCACCCATGCAGGAAAAGGAGGTGTAGCTGAGGCCCAGTACCACGGAGTCCCCATGCTGGCTCTTCCCGTCTTCGCCGATCAGCCAGGCAACGCCGATAAGCTGGTGGAGAGTGGCTACGGCCTCCGTCTGGAACTGAACTCCCTGGATGTTGCCGAGTTTAAGGAAGCCATCAAGAAGATCATTGAAAATCCTAAGTACGCTCAGAAGCTGAAGAGCTTCTCGCAGCTGTACCGCGATCGTCCTCTGAGTGCCCAGGAATCGGTTGTCTACTGGACGGAGTACGTGATCCGCCACCGTGGAGCTGCTCACATGCAGAGTCCTCTGGTGCACATGAGCTTCGTCGCCAGCAACAACCTGGATATCTGCATTATCACCGCCCTGCTCCTCTACGTTATCTTCATCATCAACAAGATCTTTTGGAAATTCATCTGGAAAAAGCTATTTGGCAAATCGAACAAAGCTTCTCAAAAGAAGAAGGTGAAGAAGCAGTAGATTATTATAGATTAACACGAATTGTAATATTAAACGAATTGATTATGTACTCGATAACGATAAATAAAATGCCAAACTAGATTACGAATCCGACGAATAAAATGAAGATGTCTAAATCTAAACAATATATGTTATTCCTTTTAGTATTATTATACTTATTTTTCAGTTAATTCTGATGTCAAATTATTAGACTTAAGAAGATAATTACCCAGAGAGATCGTTAAGTTTCCAGGTGATCTTTAGCTACAGGTAGTGAAAGAAATAATCATTATTATCCAATTTTGATAGAAATTATGTATATTATTTAAGGAATTCGTATAATAAGTTTTGGGTATGTTTTGCTGACCGCTTTTTTTTTTTTTTTTTTTTTTTAACAAAAAACTTTCCATGAAAATCCGTTATACCTCGTTGTTTTTTATTCACCACAATATATGGTTTATGTATTAGCTAAGAATTACCATTGGTTAATTAATTATAATCAAATTATTGTTTTTAGGTCCTTGTTTAACTATTAACTGATAATATAAATTTTTAAAACGGAAACTATTAAAAAATATTCATATGTATGTAATGTGAATGTCTTCTTCACTTTGTATCAAACTACTGCATGAAATTTTAATACTCTCTGAAAGAGTATAATCATAAAATACACCTTTTTAACTTGACCAAGCCCAACAATCACGATTACGTATAAATTTATAGAAATTTGTACGTGTATCCGGTCAATCTAATTTAAACTATGCTACAAAATAAAGTTCTTGGAAACTTTATAAAAAGAGGCCTTGTTAAGGTTAAATAATCTTTTATATTATATGTAATCTTTTTTATAGACGCCCACAAATATCAAAATCATTAAATACTGTTGTAAAGTGGCTTTGAATACCTAAATTTGTGTATATTATGAACTTTTTTGAAAAGAATTTGTCCGTTTTTTTATTCGGTGTGATTTCGCACAGTGCTATCAATAAATATCACAGATACCAGCATAACACTTGGGAAATTCGTACAACCTTAAATGGGAATGCAGATTACACGGCTAACTCAGTCCGTTATCTGTCCGTCCAGGAATTATAAGATACGTGCAGTCTGCCGGTGCTCGAATCAGTTTTCCGTTGACCGCTAACGCAAATAGTGCTAATTATGACGCGCAGCCAAGGAACTTGGTGGTGCTGCAGCTTTGGCGGACTTTTAATTGTCCTTTTAACCCTGCAGTCGATGCCCCAGGGCAGCGAAGGATCCAACATTCTGGGCGTCTTCACCAGTCACAGTACCTCGCACTTTATCGTGCACATGTCCGTCATGAAGACGCTGGCCGAGAGGGGACACAACGTGACCGTCCTGTCTGTCGTGCCTCCCAAAGTGACCCACAAGAGCATTAAGCATATTGTTGTCCCCATTAGTGCCGAGGAGGAGAAGCTCCTCCATGCGGGCCTCTCCCAAATGGCTAAGGAGAAGCCATCAATTTGGACCGCCATGAAGTCCATTTTCGGTTCTTTGGTTATGCTTATCGAGAAGCAAGCGGACGTGCTGGAGCATCCGCTTTTTCAGGAACTCTACCTCAACAAGGGCAACCAGTTTGATGTGGTATTCGTCGGCTTCTTCTTCAACACCTACCAGGTCGGGCTGGGTGCCAGATTTAACTGCCCCGTAATTGTATCCTGGATGGGTCCACCCGTGCTCATGGTCAACGATGTGCTCGGCAACCCCGAGCTGTCCACCGTACCCCAAATGCAGATTGCCGTGCCCCCAGGAAAAGCCATGAACTTCCAGCAGAGGGTTCAAAACTTCTTTACCACCCTGGGCTTCAATGCTCTGCATGTCTACCTAAACCACAAATACAACAAATTCTATGAGTAAGTACAATAGTTGTTAATCTACAATTATTATCAGCTCTTTTGATCAATTATAATCATATACGTGCCTCAAAGTGTGTTACTGAAGCCCATAGAGCTACAACTACACAGCGACTGTAGATCAATTTATAGCCGATACCTGAACAGCTTACTCTTCCCTTTACAGTCGCCTTTGGGGCAAGGACAAATCGATGCCCACCTTTGAGGAGGCCATGAAGAACGTCTCCCTGGCTTTTTGCAATGCCCACGGCATCAGCGAAGGCCCCATTCGTCCGAATGTTCCAAGTATAATTGAAATTGGTGGCATCCAGGTGAAGAAAAGGCCTGATCCTTTGCCGGAGGACATCAAAGAATTTCTCGATAAGGGACAAAACGGAGTCATTCTATTCAGCCTTGGTTCCAATTTAAAGGGCGAACATTTGCAGTCAGGGGTGGTGCCTATCATATTCAAGACATTGAGCAGCCTGAAGCAGCAAGTGATCTGGAAGTGGGACGACCTTGAGAAGACCCCTGGCAAGGCGTCGAATATTCTCTACAAGAAGTGGCTGCCCCAGGACGATATCCTGGCTCACCCTAAGATAAAGCTATTCATCACCCATGCAGGAAAAGGAGGTGTAGCTGAGGCCCAGTACCACGGAGTGCCCATGCTGGCCCTTCCCGTCTTCGCCGATCAGCCTGGCAACGCCGATAAGCTGGTGGAGAGTGGCTACGGCCTCCGTCTGGAACTGAACTCCCTGGATGTTGCCGAGTTTAAGGAAGCCATCAAGGAGATCATTGAAAATCCTAAGTACGCCCAGAAGCTGAAGAGCTTCTCGCAATTGTACCGCGATCGTCCTCTGAGTGCCCAGGAATCGGTTGTCTACTGGACGGAGTACGTGATCCGCCACCGTGGAGCTGCTCACATGCAGAGTCCTCTGGTGCACATGAGCTTCGTCGCCAGCAACAACCTGGATATCTGCATTATCACCGCCCTGCTCCTCTACGTTATCTTCATCATCAACAAGATCTTTTGGAAATTCATCTGGAAAAAGCTATTTGGCAAATCGAACAAAGCTTCTCAAAAGAAGAAGGTGAAGAAGCAGTAGATCAAGTCGTACGGAAATCTTTAGATTCTTGTAGCTTTACACTAAAATATATTTTATATATTACCCCAAATATAATTAAAAATCAATCCAATCAATCCAACAATAATAAATTAAAAACGGATTTTAAAAAAGTGGAGATTAAATATTAATAGTACCCACATTTGGCTTTTTTCACCACAGACGGTGTGTGTATTGGATAAACAAGGCATTTTAGCTTACTCTATGAACTTTCCAATTCACCAACAGAGCTAGCAAATGCCATGTAGAAACTATGTAAATTTATAAATGGCATTAATAGAAAATTTAATCTTGAACCTAAATATTATTAATAAAAAATAAACCTCGCTTCGGTATAATTAATACGCATTTTGATATAATTATTTCACATTTTATTTAGATACATAACTGCTTATTTTACAGGACACGACTAAATACTCCACTCTTATCCCCATTCTCCCTTTTCTAGGGAGCATCAAGGGCCTTTGGTATGTTTTGTTTCTCTTCCACCTCCTCCTCTGTCCTGTTGCATGGAAGGGTCTCACCAGTGTTGACATCTTGCACCACGCGACAGGTCTCGCTGTCCAGCTCCTCGGGATCCTGCACAACGTCCCGGACACTGAAGACCTCCTCTTGAAAGTTAGGAGACTTCACTGCCGGCGCAAACTCGCCCACCCCCAGTTCAGCATGGATGGTGTCCATTAGATTTGCCAAAAGCAGGCTCTCGCTGTGGCTGAAGACGTTGCTCTCGTTGTTTCCCTTCAGGATGCAGTTCCGCACCTCCTCGGCCTCGTAGCACATGCCCACCCGATTGTGGTAATGGGTAGCGGGCACCTCCTCGCCCCCCGGCAGTGGGAACTCATAGCCCACCTGGTCGGTGATCAGGCGCGTGGGACACCAGTAGTTGCCCATCTAAATTGGGAAAATTAGAGAAATTCCCTTAACAAACTTTAACTTGTGGACTCACCTTGATGCTTCCCTCCTTGCCCTGAATGATGGCCATGTTGTCCAGCCTCTTCTCCGAGCTGACTTCGATGAAAGCCTGCTTGCCGTGACTAAAGCACATTTCGATATTGGCAGCCACATCCACATTCTCCGAGTTGACCTTGCCGCTAACCTTAAGGCAGCGTGGCACCTCGCGGAATACCCAGAGGGCCAATTGCATTCCGTAGACGCCAAAGTCGCTGGTAACTCCACCATACAGAGCAAGTCGACTGGAGGAATAAAACTAGTAGATAGAACTCCGCCCGATTAGGAGAAGCCCTAAAGTCATGCTCACCTGTTGGAAACTGGCAGCCCCAGAGTACAGTGGATGTGCTGAAGCTCGCCAAGGCGGTTACGCAGGATCTGGTGCCGCAGGTAACGGTAAGCGGGCACGCATCTCGGCCACATTCCCTCCATGAGAAAGAGGCCTCGGGCATTCGCCTTGTCCAGCAGCTTGAGCACCTGCTCCTCCGTCATGCAGAGCGGCTTCTCGCACAGCACGTGTTTGTCGTGGTTAAGCATCAGGTGGCACAGCTCCGAGTGCTGAGGGTTCAGCGGTGAGATGTACACAACGTCTGATCTTCAACAATTGGATTAGGAAGTGGTGATAAAACGAACGATTTGTTTTGGCATTTTCTTAAAACCGAAATTACAAAATTGAAAATAATTTAAATAATGAAAAAATTACGCATCCGCCATGTGAGCCCAAACAGAAATATATCTATGTCCAAAGCAAATGCCAAACAAAATTAAGCTTATTTCCCGACGACTCACCAACATCCGGGCATCTGGCCAAATCTTCGAAGCTGGTGTACACATTCTTTACTTTGTGGCGATCGGCGAAGGCGAGGGCGTGCGACTGGTAAGCGGCCACACAGGACACGATGCGGTGGTGTTGAGCCGGCAGGACACTCAGGGCTGCAGCAAAGTCGTCCGCCATCAGGCTAATGGGTGCAATTCCCCAGCGCAGCGTTGGCCCATTGATACCCGACCATTGGTCATCGCTTCCCGCATTTGAATCATAACCATTGTCTGCCAAGTCTCCTGGAGACTGCTCACTAAAGCGATTGACGTGCAGCTCTCGGAGGCGGGGTCGCCACATGCTGTGACTGCCTACCACACTACTCCGACTGTCATCCGGTCTACATGATGAGCGTGTGGCACGTCCGGTTGGCAGTTGATCTTAGGGGAAGAGCAGGAGGATTAATGCAGTTGAAAATATATATAGTATTTCACTTTATTTTTAATTAAGCTATTGAAGGATTAACACTTCTTTGATAGAAACGTTTTTCCAAGTGTACAATCGCCAGCAGAGATCGGTGGCAACTTTGTCGCGTAAAACGCATTTCATTCATACAATCGATCGGTTTTCCACGAACTGGCGAAATTGCGGGTGTTGGTTTTGGTTTGGGCTGCCCCGGCAGCCCGGGACAGCCCGGTGGCCAGAAAACCGGTCCGGCCTCCAGGCTACGGTCCATCCGTGGACCATCTACGTCGAAACCGAGACGGCGGGCGCATTATGTGGCGCTGTTTAGTGCGTCAGTTCCTCCATAATTAGTCATATTTGTTTAGCATCACAACTTGTGAATGACTCGCTGCCGTTCGGCGGGGCTCAGTCAGGTTTTAGCCGCTGTTTTGGCCGCTCTTTTTGCCGCGATTGTAGCTGAGTTTGTTGTTAGTGAGCTGGTGATGGCCTGGTCCTGGCCAAGTTGGCCAAGTTGGGAACTGCCTGGGCCGCGCACTTTGCGCTTCGTTCTGTCCGCATTCGAATTTCACTTTCTTTTTTAGAAACTAAGCAACTGACTGTTTGTGTATTTATCACCGTAACACTTAATGAAAGGGTAGCTACACTTTGAAGAGCTGCCAAGGGAATTGAATTTAAATTTTGATTTTCAAGAAGAAAACATTCATTTAAAAGGAATATGAGTCCAACATTTAAGAGGATAAATCGTATAACTTTGACTTCTAATACATATTGTTTTATATATTCGTTTGATAAATATTAAAAATGTGTTTTATTATCTATCATAACTTCAGTTATTGTTTCTAAACTCTCTACCAAGATGATATGACAGCTTAATTGATATATTTCTAGAAATAGTTAAAGTTACAGAGCATTCGATATACCCACTTTCCACTCGAGAGGTGCCACCTTTCGCAGCTTATTTCACTTTTCAATAATTCGAGTGCGTGCAACAATGTCCGGCGGCGTGCGAGCGAGTGTGTGAGTTGCTCTGTGTGCAGTGCGTCCCAACAAAAAACAGAAAACACAAAACAAAAAAAAAAACACAAATTGAAAAATTTGTTTATCTAATTAGCAATGCACCGGGCGACGTCTTTACGGGCAGCGGCAGTGCTTTTCACCTGATTTGGCATGCACGGCAGGTGCTTTCAGGTGGCAACTGGCAACTGGCTAATGGGAACTGCCAAGTCGATGGCCGTAGAAATTGCCCTAACCCCAAATGCAAAACAATAAAAATATGTGCGAGGCGCCTTAATGGGTTGGCCAATGAACGAAAGTGTTCTATGGGCGTGCAGACGGGCCAAAAATAAAAAAAAGGAAAAGAAACAGAAAACCAAAAACCGAAATTGGGAAATTTAACCAACTCTCGCCCAGTGCCGGAAGTGTGTGTGTGGGTGAAATTATGTGCAAGTGAAAGGTTGCCTAATTTCTGTCATTAAACTACAGGGGCACGAGCAGGAGCCACGTTTGCACTTGTACAAATTAGTGCAAATTTTTAACTAAACAAACTAATTTTTTTTTTTTTTTTTTTTGTTGCGTGTCAATTTGTAGTTTCTTGGTAACTGTAGACTATATAACAACGAATATTGTCATTATATCTATGAAGTCCTGCGATATCTTAAACATTTAATAATCATAGATCTAAAATTAATATTTCATTATAAAGCTTAACAGGTTATAGAACATTTTTTACCATAAAATATGTAATGATATTGTTTTTAGTGTGATGCCAACTAGAGCTAGATTAGATACGAGATGATGGTGAAGATGCCGGGGCAGGAGGAGCGCGACAAGAGCTGACAGCCGGAGCACACAAATTTGCCATGCGTGTGCCTCTTGATGACTCTTTCCAGAGAGCGACGACACGCCGGAGACGACATGTTCATTAAAGCCGGAGCGGCATCATCATACCCCAGCCACAAGCCCCATCCGCCGGCTCCTCTGGCGCACCGACAAAGCAAATAAATACTAAAATTTGCATGCCTGCAACATAAATCGTCGCAAAATATTAAACAAGTCAGCAGCAACAGTTGAAATCAATAAATTTATTGATACAATTTACACGGCCGAGTGGAGCACAGGCACAACTACAACCATAAAGGCTTCAGCGGCAGCGGCAACTGCATCGGCGATATTGCTGGCAGCATGCAACATGCAACACGGCCACATGCAACACATGCGCTAATTAAGGGGGGTTCGAGTTCGCCGGCGGGGGTGTGCTCGGAAAACGCGGCACTCGCTATTCGGCGATGGCCTTGCAACTGGCAAAGTGGCAGCAGAAACAAGTTAACGAGCCTGGCCAAGTGACCAACTGACTGAGGAAACTCACTCGATGATTTTCGCGGCAACAAATTATTGTTGGGGGGCTTTCATGAGGGACGGCGATGTGATTTGCGATGATTTGGTCCCCGCTCTGACTTGATTGCATCCCATAAAACAGATCAAAATGTACGAAATGCTTTTCATGATGATTTACAAACTAATTTCGTTGATGTAGATATTGATTTATTAATGGCATCGGTATAGTAACCAAAACTAAAAACGTGATTACCAAATAATTAGCCAAAAGATTAGTTTAAAATTAAGATGATTTCGAAAATTTTAAGCTTTATTCAACTGAATAGACTGTCTTTTGGATCTAAATAAAAAACCTTCAAAATTTACAAACAAATAGAAAGTAGAGTAATTGTTAATCGTTTGACATTCTGTAAGCATATATATTTAAGTGTCACATGGATATTTGCATGTTCTCCTATTCTAGGTTGAGAAAGTCATGTGTCAAGTTCGTTGCCAAAGTCTTTTGATTTGCCTTACGTTTTTCCATTGGAGGCTCGAAACTTTAGCAGCATTGCGCCTTAATTGACACCTTCAACGTTTTGAGAGAAAGGGGACACAAAGGGAGGCTCTGTGGCCTAACAACAACAACCAGACATCAGCATAATTTTTCGTGTTTTTTATTTCCTTTTGTTGCCACTGCTTTTGAGGTACTTTTTGTTGGCCACCTGACAAGTTTCGAATGCACATCTCCGTCGGCTCACTCTCTCATCTCGCCTCATCTTCTCCTCAACTACTCTATACGCACACGCCCAGCAGCAATAGCCACAGCATCGCCAATTGACAGCCAGTCATGTCATGACTATTGCCAATTGTTTTTTGCTGTGCCCAAGGCTTTTAACATATTTTACGATTTGTTGACCGCCAGTAGAAATTTATTTTGCCAAAAGATTTTCGGTTTTTATGCAACCGGACAGGTGATGGCGAAAAGCGAAAGCCCAAGAAAGCTATAATCGCAGAGTAGAACAAAGTATGTTGGGGGTAGTGAGAGTTTAGTGAATTAAGCTTATAAGGTTAAGGTTTAATTATTTAGTTATAAGTATAAAATAATACTTTATAACACCAAGGTAAACAATCATAATTGGAGCTGAAGTTCTAGTTAATAAACAAGATACGAATAAATATGAAAACCTTTTAAAATGTTAAGTATATAATAAAAATGATAATCCGAAAGATGTTAAGTTGGTAAATTAATCCATCTTAATGTGTATAATAAAAATAACAAATTATTTTATTTATTAAAGAGCTCAATATAAAAAAGATTTAAAAAGAAGAACTATAAAACCATTAAGTTAAACAAAAACTTGTCTAAAAAAATAAATGTTTAATGTTAGCTAAATAAACTTAAATAATTTTTCGATACTTGGCTGTAATGGCAAACTTTATTTTCGTAATCAGTCTTAAGAGAGACTAATATTCTTGGCCAGCCGCTGCAGCAGCAACATGTTGCAGGCGGTGAAAAGTGAGTCTGTCTCTGGGCAAGAGCTGCAACACCAGTGCCAGCAGGAGCAGAAGCGGCAGCAGCAGCAGCAACTACAACCAGGAGCAACAAAAAGCGAAAAGACGACAACATTGGTGACGATGCTGCCGACGGCGACGCCAGCTTTGACTGCGACGCATGTGTTTATTGATTCGCTTTGGCTTTGGCTTTGGCCAAAAGCGACGGCAGCGGCCGAGACAAGTGCAGGCCTGGTTCGTTGTACCTGCAATCTCCGCCGACGTTGCTGCCGCTGCCACAGTCGCTGCCTCTGCCACTGCCACTGCCTCGGCCGCTTTTAACAGTTTCGAATTTGAGTTTTGGCCAAGACCACGCGAAATCAGTTAACAAACGGACGCGTTTTGAAACGGATGCACTGGCACTGCGAGCGAGAAACTTGAAGCCTCTGTCGTCGTTATTCCTGGCCTGGCTCCTCCATAAAAATCGAAAGATCCCAAGATCCCGGGCCAAGTCGAATCCGAAACCAAAAACCAAACCCGAAGCCGAAGCCGTGCGAATGTCTGTCGGCCTGAAGAAGAAGAGGCTCGCAGAGCTGCTATCTTCATCGGTCGCGTTGGTCGTTTAAAAGTGAAATTTACTGAATGAAATGAAATGTCTTCTGGCCAGCCACGGACTCGCTGTCTGGCCGACTGTGTGCACTGTGTTGCCTTTGGCTTTGTGTTTGATTATTGATTTGTGACAATTGTCGGCAAGGAAATGACTGCAAATTAGTTGGCAAACATTCGCCGCCTGGAAAAATCCGGATTGAAAACGCCTACAAATTATTAACGCAAATTATTTGCCAATTCGTGGAAATATCTCTCTTCCTGTGCGAGTGTCATTGAATGGTAAGCCAACAGGCCGGAAACTGAGGTGATGTAAGATCCTGCCTGCATGGTGCAAGCCTGTGAAAGTGCTAGAATAAATCGGTTGAGAGCAGATGAAAATGAAAGGAATATATATTTTTTGGAAAAGTACAGAAAGCTTTTCACTCTTAAAAGTAGATGAAACTATAGTTTACAATGCATATTTACTAGTGAAAGCGAAAGAACCAAATCCGATGCTTTCATAATTGAATTAAAAATTTTTAAGGAGTCACAGGACATTTTATTAATGCTGAGATTATTTTTTTAAAATAAATATTCATAACATGAGGCTTTCTATAATTATCTTAGATGTTATTACCTTATATCAGCTATAGCATGCTGTTCCTCTATTATAAAAATCATTTAAGGATCGTAAAATCATCAAGTCACATAAGATAGCTACGTTAGACCACCAGGCGGGAAACATGATCGTATGTTTGAATAAGTTAAACACTTGTAAGCCTACGTGTGATCAGTAGAAATCATGTCTGATTATTCACAACGATTTGTGTTTATTTCTGTTAAAGTTGATCGCTGACATCGTGTATGATCAGCGAAGATCGTGTACGATGCCCATAAATGCAGTTTAGCATTTACAAATCAATGAGTGTGAATAGCGGGATTTATACATATCATTTACATAGTATATTCAGTTGACAAATAGCAGAAAGCATTCAAAGAAAAATAAGTATTGGATTTATAGATCCTATAAAAGGCAGAAAATTAAATTACTTTTAAACTATAGATATTTGTAAAATATATCTGTGTATCTAATAAGATGTTGCTGAAATAATACAATTTATTATAACTAAACTTTAAAAGAGAAGCTATTAGTTACATTTCGCTAGCAAGGTGCAACAGTAAGCATCACTTGATGGCTACTTAGACGCATTTACCATCAATCAACTCTCGGTTTTCAATGGTATAATACACGAGTGCGGATGTTGCTCATAAATTCCACCTTTCTTCGCCGACCGAAATCGAATGTTTTGCCTCTTTTACGATCCTGCTTACTTTGCGAAAAGAATTAAGACGCGGCGACGCTTATTCGGTGGAAAAGCAGACAAACAAACGGGCATCACTCATACGCCGCGTGAACAGAATGAGGGGAGAAAGGGCAGACAGTTGATTTTCCCGGCACTCCCGGGGCCACTCTGCGCATTTATCTTTCACTTAAAGTGAAGATGACATTCTTTAAATGAAATTAACTGCCGGCAACAAAAAGCTGGCGCTCTTGCCACTGCCGCTGTTGTGCTGATGCATCCGACGATGTTGATGTTGCTGAGGTTGCAGCTAATGTTGCTGCCGCCAATGTTGATGGTGATGTTGCTGCTGCAGATGCTGCTTCAGTGGCAGCTGCTTTGGCTGCAATTAGTATTTGTCTTTGGCTAATACGCTGCCATGTTGGTATGCATCTCTGTGCGCCAGTTTCATGTTGCCCGTGTTGCCTCTGTGCTGCTGCAGGTTGCTGGTTTATGTCGCTGCCTGCCGTTGCTATCTTTTACTTAACGCATAAAAAGTGTCGCGCACTTGAATGGCTATTTGGTCTCTGCTTCGGTTGTTTGTCTATTTATTGGTCTGTTTGCTTGCTCATCGGCTTTTTGTGACTGCCTTTTTTACACTCATTGGCTTAGCCGTCCACTTAACAGCTGTCGCATCGAGTGCATCTCTCACTCCATCTCCATTCCCATCTCTCCTCCGAATCTCAATGGCTCAGATCTCCAGTGGAGCCTTTTGGGTTTACTATAAGTGACTGATCGCCGGCTTTTAAGAGACGCCGATCGAAAGTGCCGGGAATGCATTTATGATACGGGGCATCAAGTTGATGTGTTTACATCAATGTTTTGACATTGTGTGGGTTGTTCCATCAACTGCATCAATCGAGGTTAAAGATCTTTCCATGGACTGAAAGTTTGTCAATTATTTAAAGTATATTTATTATAGTCAAGTGGGAATAAACACTTTGCTTCTAAGATAGTTTTTGTGGGTTTGATTTTTATTCAAGAAGCAATAGTAAAAAGTTTTAAATTCAACTCAGACAATTGATAGACAGCAAAGACCTTGTTTAATTTTTATAAATATATAATAGCGTATGTAGGAAGCACCCAAAAAGAAATCAAACCCTCCCCAAAAAATGTATCTTTAAATACTATATCCGTAAATCTCTGCTCTATAATTAAATAAGCAGCTGAGAAAACAAATTCCGATGATTGCATAAATTGCATATTATTAGCATATCTGATAATCGCATAATACTTGGCGACAACACTCACTTAGCGGCCAACACACACATTTCTCTTGTCATGTAAACACAATAAACTTAAACAACTATGAAATTATGCGTAATTAAACGCATTACAAAGTGACACGGATTGGCTTATGCAAATGTGCGGTGTAACACAATAAAAACAATTAAATAACTCATGCGAAACGAGATCGAGAGCGTGAAAACGAGTTAGGCCTACCGCGTAAAATAGTGACAGTTTCTGGTGACCACTGAAAATTTTCGGGGGAAATCATAAGTGGGAAAATGCAGGGAAAATCTGTTTGTTTGGAGTGTATTCAATTGCAAGGCCATCACTCCGCCCCATTTTTCTTGGCCGTCGGCGAATTTTATTTGATTTTAATTGCCGCCATAGCAAGATGTTTGCCATTTAATGGCTTTATTTATGCGTGTAGTAATCAAGTTAATTTTTACGATTGCCGCCGACCGAGTCGCAGCAGCAGCAACAACAGTAAAAAGCGTGGCAGCACGCCGGCAACAACAACCAGATCGCCGAGCTGCCGCAAAATAAATGCAAATTTTCTTTTATGTTCAAAAAGCACAAGTTTCACTTTCGATGGGAACGGAACCCGCAACTCAAGCTCAGACCGAAAAATATATTCCATAAACAAAAACAAAAAAATAAAAACAGAGACAAAGATGACATGCAGGCAGGAAGATGATGATAAGAAGCCCTCAGGTCAAAGGAAGGCAAAGGGAACTGCTACGCGAAGAAAGCCAAAAGAAAGACCGCCGCCCACCCAGGTCGTGCGAGTCTCCTGATCACTCTTTGTCGGTGTGTCCGGGGAGTCTTCTGTCCAGTCACGCTCTGCGTCTGCCCTCTGCCGCGTAATGCCATAAATTATGAATTAATCGTATCAATCTCTTCGATCCGAGCGGTTGTCGCTGAAAGGGCTAAGGATGAAGAGCCTTAAACTGACGTTTTAAAATAATATGGGGACTAAAGTATGGTTGGGGTTGTGAATAATTGTGAGAGACTTAGCTGAAGTCCCTTAAATAATACCAAATAAAATGCAGTTACACTTATAATTATAAGAATTGCAATAAGTTTAAGTTCGTTTCTTAAGTCTTTCGTTTTTAAAACGTTTTTTTATAAATAATGAAATTTGTCCGAGTTTGTTTTTAACTCTTTTGTTTTTCAAAACCAAATATCGAAATTGTAAGATTCGTACAATGAAAATATGATATTTAAAAAAGGAACAATTACAAAAATAATGAAAATACAATACAAGACCAATTTTTACGCATTTAATTTTATAAAGTAAATTCCTTTATTGACAATTATGCACAATAAATGTATATTAGTATAGGTATATTTTAAATATAATTTTATTTTATTTATATTAAAATCAGAAATGTATTGATTTCACACTAGGCAAGCCCTTTTTCCAAAATCTAACATACTGAACTGTTTAAGAAAACGATCTCATATCTCTAATTTTCATTTCATTTCATTTACCATAGCTATCAATTTTCGCTCCTTGCCAATTCAATTCGCTATTTAATACATTTTTCCATTAACAAGCCAAGTGAAAGGTTAATTTTCTTTGCTCTTTAGTTAATATTAATCAGACATTCCATTTTATGATCACAGCCAAAATGCTACCTGAATTGAAAAATGCAGGCATGGCAGCTGCAAATTAAGTTCCCAGCAATCTGGATAACAACCTGTTAAGTGACTCCAGTGTGTAACAAACTTCCTCATTGCCGGACGTTATCCAATAGTTAAGAATCGATTGCGGTGGAAATTGCTGAAATTGCCGAGATCAAGTTCGGCGGACACAATCGATATCGATGTGCATATTAAATCATCAGCGAGTCATAACCGAAACTCAACAATTTAACAAAATTCCAGATAAGACGAGAAAACCCGACCAGACCGACCGATCAACGAACCGAGCCACGATGATTAGTGAACGCCACAAGAGCCGCGATTTGGTTACGATACTTGGTCTGCTCTGCCTCCTCCTGCGCCACGGTGTCGCCTCTGGCCATGTGATCGAGGTCTTGGCTCAATCAACAACCGCATCGGCGACGTCGACGGCAGCGGCTCAGACGGATACGGTGCCGGCGACCAATACGGTGACTGAGACGAAGACAAATGCCAGTCAGGATGAGGTTGCTCCGACGCCCGGTGCGACAACAGGTGAGCGAACAACAACCGCAGCGAAATGAAAAATATGAAAGATTTGCACTTTGATTTTGTTTCGCCAACATAATTGGGTGCTTGGCCAGCGGGACGAGTGGAGTCTGCGGATGAGCTGGGCGCTGGGGAGTTGGAAGTGGGGAGTGGAGAGTGGGGACTGGGAGTGGGCACTATTTTAATGGCCAGCATTAGGAGATCAAACAATTTTGAACGCAATCATGCGAGGCATTTTAATGTGAATGAAAGTGAAAATCGTCTGGCAACATTGTTTCGTGGTCGCAGGCAATTATGCAAGGATAAATGGGATCCAGATGCATGTACTCGATTGCCTGGGATGGGATTGGAGTCGAGTGGCGTGGAGTGGGCTCAAACCCCTCCGGTGTAGGCAGGGCGCCCACCCATCATGAAATTAAAAGTAACCGAATAGCTGAATGCTCTATATAATAAAACTAAGTGCAAAGTTTCTTATAAAATATTTCATAATACATTTTCATTTATTGTAAATAAGATCATAATATAGTTTATTATAGAAATGTTTTATATGTTGAATTATTAAAAGATTTATGAGCTTAAAGAACTATTTATAAATGATTTTTCGGCAATAATAGCTTCTTAACGTATTAAAGGGTTTCTTATATCAATCTTTTATGAATAAAGTTATAATAATAATACCTTGCACTTAGTTCATACAGTTTTCATAGAGTTTAAACAGTTTCGTTGAGGGAATTGGAAACCAATTTCCAGAATGAGCTCGAGATGCATGAGTAGCCATTTCCGCTTAGGCCAAGTGCATGTCCTCACGTCGAGGAGGTATAAAGACTGAGAGCTGGGAGCTCATAGCTCCGCGTGTTTTTGCGAACGCTCAAATGGAAAGCGATTTGTCTGGTTTTAGCTAATAATTTATCAGGCCTCCGCATTCACAGTCGTCGCCTTCGCCGCCTCTGCCACTTATTTTGCCCAGTTCGTTGATCAGTCAATCAAGCGGAGTGGAGTCCAAGTCAAAGCCCAAGTGGATCTAGCTTTGTGTCTGGGTGTCTGTCTGTTTGCTGTGCTGATTGCTGTGGTCGTGGCCCCCACAGATCAACGCCTGCCGACACGACGGAGGAGCCCGAAAGTGTCGACTGCTGCCAGGTGGGCGTTGGGTTCACGTCCATGGGGCTCTTTTTGGCGGCTTGGCCTCTGACACCGGCTTAATTAGCAGCGAAGCCACATGGCGAGGAGCTAAGCGGCTCATCGAATCCCAGTCGGAGACATACAGGCTACAGGTTCAATGGAGTGCAGCGTGCAATCTTGCACACTGTCTGCGGGCATTAAAATCAATTTATGCAAAAATGTATTCGAAATCGATTGAAGACAGCTAGCTAGCCACAAATAGGGGAGTTTTATGAGTTTTGCCAAGCAATACTTATTATTATTTATATTTATTGGCAAAGCAAAAGCCTTTCCTAATTATAGATTAGCGCCATTACAAGTCTGGCTTTTTAAAGTCTCTAAATCTATATATGTGGACATTCAAAGCTTTTGTTTACTTAAAACTCTTTGAGCTCCTCTCTCTCTCTTGCCTTGATCAACCAGGATGCCAGACGGACCAAGTGACGGGACAAAAACATTTGTTAACACTTTAACGAGTTATGATTTGGCCAGACCCCAGCCGTAGCTCCAAGCTCCCAGCTGCCAACTCCTTACTCCTAGCCGCTTCCCCAGCCACAGCTCAAATGCCTGGCGGCCATTTGGGGGGCAATTAAAGTTGCACTTGTAAAAGTAAATTGATACGGTACTCAATCATTTGCCTCCGCATTCTCTCTCTCTCTCTCTTCCACAGCCCCGCGTCTAGATCCTAACAACAACAACGAATGGCGTCCCCTTGGCCACGGGGATCCCCTGCAAAAGGACCCAACCTACGACTATAGCCCTCCGGCCCTGGATCGAGTGCGCTACTGGGCGGAAAACAACAGCACGGGCCAGAGTAATCCGGAGGCCAGGAAGAAAGAGCTGCCGCCGGAGGTGCTTCGCAACAAGACCAAGAGCGAGGTGCTGCTGCTGGGTGTGGCCAGCGAACGGGTGAGGGTGCCTCACTCACATTCCTATCCGCCGGTTGGACTGGGCCAGAGTCACCACCAGCAATACAAGCACCAGTACCAGCACCAACATCAGGAGCAGCAGCAAGCTAAATATGCGGCCATCAGGAGGAGCTACTATGCGCCAACGCAACAGCAACATAGTCCACAAATGTTGCATCAGGCTCAGCATATTCAGCACCATTCCCCAATTCCACAGCAGACACAGCACATGCCCCACACCCACTTGATGCCACCGCCCATGATGATGGTGAAATCGGGCGGCCCCTCCGTGCCGCATCTGGAGTACAGACACAGTATAATGGCCACAGGAGCACCCACATCTTACATGAGCCTCAGTTACACGATGAGCTCGCCAGCACCTAAGCCGGCCATGACCTCCTCTGTGATTTATCACCAACCCGCGATGGGTCACTACACTCCCTCTTCCTCCTCCGCATCATCGTCAACGCCCTGGCTAAGCAGCATGTCCAGCATGCCACCACATAGGTTCAGCTACACGGACCCACATCTCCAGGAATCCATGCACGCCTACAGCTTCTCGAGGCCCAATCCCGCGCAATCGGTTGCCTACTCCCCCAACTCGCTGCCAGGACATCAGGGCGGATCAAAGGCGGGTCTGCGGAAGCCGTGGCTGCATGAACTGCTCCAAAAGGAGGTGGTAATGAATAAGGCGAAGGTTAAGCCCACGATGCCCGCTACCAAGTACCTGATGGGCACAAGTAAGCCACATCATCCACTGCCACCAGCTGGTTTTGGAATCAGCTCCACCCGGCCTCCCTTTACCTATGCTCCCGTTACTTTTGTGCCTGGACCGCCCACCATAGCAGTGCCCACGGTGGCCACCAGACAGGAGGCACAGCAGGAGATCTACATCACACCCACGCCGCAGACAAGTAGCTCTGGCTTCAGACCCATGCTGGTGACCAGTTCGACTACTACGTCCACTACATCGACTCCTTTGCCCATATATCAGCGAACCAGCACTAGCCCCAGCACAACAAGCAACCGATTGCTGATCCCCCAGACGAGTAATCTGGCCCAGCGACCCACAGTGGCTCCAGCGCCAAGTGAACCCACCACCGATTCGCTTTTCTCCCATTATAAGCAGCCACCAAAGCCCCTATTGGGGCCCATGTACCTCATCATTGAGGGTCACTCCAAGGTGAAGACCTATGGCCAAAACGAATTGGATCCACATAGTCCAAAGATAGTGCCGGTTATCTCCAAGCGGGAGCCTGTGGTCAGGATAGCTGATCCCAACGAGAAGAGGGGAACGGTTGAGTCCTATCAGGTCAAGCACTTGCACACAAAAACCACGCCCATGACGACGACTACAACCACACGGAAACCGACAACCAAAAAACCTTTGCCAACGGAAGGTCCTTTAGTTAGAGCTCCTGTTTTTACCCCTACCAAGGCACCTGCTCCAGAATCTACTAAGGCTCCTGCAGCAACATCTACTAGAGCTCCTGTTAGCAGTACCACTTCAAAACCCACTGCAACATCAACCCCAAGAGCTCCGATTACACCCCTTGTCAGCAGCGCCGCTCCCTTGGTTAAACCAGAAGCTAAGCCGGAACCCGCTAGTGAAGTCAGTGATCTGTTGAGCTTACTGGACAATATGTTTGCCGATGCCCACGAAATCGCTTCTTCCACCAGCTCATCTGTTCAAGTGAATCCCACAACGAGCACCGTCCTCAAGCCAGTTAGTACCAAGTTGTTGCCCCAGCAACCGGAACCGAGGATTGGCAGCAAGGCGGGAAGCATCGAGAGTATACTCGAAGACGCCCCAGAGGATGATGGAGCTGGCAAAGATCTAGGGTCGCAGATTTCCACTGAGACACCGCCTCGAGCAACGCGTCAGGTCTTTGACTATGATCAATTACCAGAGTCACGGATCAAAGACGGGGTCACCGCCAGCGATGTTATGGAGTACAATGATGACGAGGAGCTGGGCTACGAAGAGGAGCTGGGTGGGATGGATGATGAATCAGCCACCGATGGTCACTTGGAAGACGAGGAAGGGGTAGAAGAAGAGGGGGACCCCGAACACAATTTACTCAAACGTATCGATCAGTTTGTGGACGATGTGGACGACGGCGATGATGATCTGGAGGATCTTATGGAGGGCCTGGACGACAGCGAGGGGATCGAGGAGCGGCGACAGCAGCATTAGCCCGAGCTAAGCCTTTTTCTTAAACTGCGCTCTATACCAAATCTATCATCAGAAAGTCTTTCTCACGCCTAATACATACGTTCTTGTACATAAGTCAGCTTTAATTGAATCTGTATTTATTCGTTGTTAGTTCTTAGAGGCCCTGCTGGCGTCACAATGTGACCGCGTTCCACCCCAAAACCCATGCAATTCGAGCAAAGAGTTTTCGTTGTGTAATTAAGCCTTAAATTATGAAAAATTTTCGAATGTTTTGATTAGTTTTTAAGTCTGTAAGAATTGAAAAATAAATGCGAAAATTTAAAGGGAGCCTCTTTGAACGCTATCTGTAAAGGTAAGCTTAGTAACTGGATGCCATCTGTCGGTTAGGAGGAGAAGCTTGATGAAAAGCTTTAAGGTCGATCATTAAAATTGCCCAATAAAACATTTAAATTTTTATTAATTTTAAATTCAGTTAATTAATAAATTATAAAATAATACAATATAAAGAAATCCTTTTTTACAAATTGCATCCAATTTTTTAACATTTTAAAAAGGGTTCACATCGCTAAATCAATAATTAGACAAATTTTAAATAAACAAAAATAAAAACTAACAGAAAATAATTTAAAATTAAAGTATATGTTAATTATGGTTTAGTAAACTTTGGCTTGTCCAAAAAATGTTTATTAAAAAAAATTATATTATAAGCCATATTTAAATGTATAGAAAAAAACCCAATTATTGATCTTAAATTAAATTTATATAAACCCGTATTCCGATTAAATAACCCGCTCAATAAGCTTTATACTTGGTTTTAGAGATGGAAAAACATTGATGATGCCCTGGAAAATATCGATTAGCGATATTTCGAAAAGATCGATCAGCGATTTTTCGAAAACATCGATGATATCGATGTTGGCATCGAATCTAATCCACCTCTAGTGTTTTCAAAGCGCTATTTCAAAACTAGCCATCGGTTCTCAGTGCGCGACAGGTGACAACGAAGCCATTCTAGTTGGACGAACCGTGCCAATTCGCAAATTGAATTAAATTGTGTGTGCAAAAAGCACAGAGTAGTGTGTTATTAACCGAAAGCAACGGCGGACGCCTCAAGTTCACACAGCTCAGGTGCGAATAATGAACAAGCTTTTTGGGTGTTTTTTATTGTTTACGATCTCGAGAGATTCTCGTTCTGTCTCCCTCCCTCCTTCTTCCACTTTCGCTTTTGTTTGGAGTAATGAACTTGAGCGGACGAAGAGGAAGAGCAGAAAATGCAGTTGGACAAAACGGAAATGTGTTTACCAGAAAAGAGAAACAAAAACAACAAGTGTATCAAGAAGCACGTGCGGTTAGCGTCCAATTTAAGTGACTCAATTTGTCCGATAAGAAGCAGCTGAGTTGATAAACAAAAAGAACAACAAATCGTATATAACGCGATGGAGGGGAGTGTATTCATAAATTAGTGAAACTATCTCCTCTCTTGTGCGCTTCGGCTTGATGATAATGTCTACATATAGCTAAATGTCTGTGCATATATTTGCCCAGTGACTATATAATAACCTTGATCCGGGCATTGCGTCGCGGCCTGAGGAAATCAGAAACATTTCCGAAATGTGGCGTCGCCGCGCCGTCAAACAGTAAAAAAACTAAAATAAAAACCAAACAAACTTCTATGCCAATAAACCGGTTCATGCTAAAATCCAAACAGAGAATGTCTCCCCCTCTGATCAGAGATAAAACGACCAAAAGAGAGTGGGAGAGAGAGATCTCGGGAGAGGAAAAAAACTGAACTGGTTGGAAAAACGAATAGCATTCCAATTAGAAAACGCCAGCTGAGCGATTTGTTCTGCCGTTTTATCAGTCCGATGCGTCGCCCGGCAAATGTCAGACTCCGGCTGATAACGGCATTGCTTTTTCGTCTGATTGGGAGAATAGACCCGGCAAATTTAGTTTATTTTTCTCTCGATATTTTTGTTTTGCCGGAATGTATTCGGTACATTTTAATTATAATAAATATTAAAAAAAATAATAAATTATAAATAAAAAAAGGTGCAGTGGTGAAAGTTTAAAGTAAAATTTAAAATTAGGAATTATTTAAAATTTTTGCATATAAAAACATACAAAAATATATTAAAGATTTTTTGGGAACAAATTCGGAAATATTTTTGTATGTATATATTCAGGGTCGTGCCAATTAACTTAAAAAACTTTTGAAAGTGTTTCGATATTTTTGAGGAAAATATATTCTTGAATTACCCATAAATAAATCAGCATACATTGTACATATAAATTTTCGACCTTTAGAGTTTGGACCGTATTGTATTGTCTGCACCCGGATTACATTGTAAGGGGGCAAGGGAATTATGATTAGGAATGGCCAGCCCCGCCAGACATGTCTGCCGGCAATGTGATAAGAGGCGAGGCGGCTTATGCAATCCCATAGATAACCTTTATCAATCGGCAGAAGCCAGCCTGTTCAAGCTCTGAGCTGAGTTACTGACCTACTTTTATCGCTGCTACGGAGAGTTCTTCCATCCATTTACGGCGGCAACCGGTTACAGCACTAATTACTCGAACCGATCGAGTTAAAATGCTCCCCACTGAAGTGTCTGGAATATTTGCAAAATGTTAAGGTCGCCTAGGCTTTTAAATTATATGCTGGCAGTGCATTAAATATAAATCAACAGTGAGCTCTGAGCAAATGAACTTAAGATGCCTAGTAGACCTAAAGAAAATGAAAAGTAATAAAAAAAAAGATAAGTGGAGCGTCCCACCCCCACTGCAAACGGTTTAAATATAAACCGAAAGTTCAACAAACTAATCGTCAAACCGCAGCGGCAATTCAATTCAGGTTCGGGTTGCTTTACCACATGCGGGTTACATGTGCGTGTGCACATACCCATAAAAACAGCCACGATCAAAATAATAGGTTCGAAAAGGTTTATCAAATGAAAAACAAAAGATATTTCAAAAATTTATTCTGATATAAACAAGAAAACTTTCCGATTTTGGAAATGTAACGTCTATAATAATCACGTCAAAAAAATGATTGAATTCTATCTTATTGACCTCCATTATTTTTATTTCCAAGAATATGTGTTATATAGTATTTCTATATGCATGTTTTACTGTATCTCTCAGAGTGCCTGCATTTACTTCTCGAACTGGAGGCTCTTTCTCCCTCAAGCCTTGTAATTACTCATCATTCCGGTGATGAGCCGTGACGAGGCTCGACTTCGAGTTCTTGATGGCGTTGCGTCACGGTGACTCGACTAAAATCATTCTGCATTATATGTACTTCCATATATGTATGCAAGATCGGAGTACAATTCGTTCTTGCACTGGTATCAGTTCAATGTACTGCAAGATTGTGTAAACGTTAGTTGTCATCAATGGAATACTAAGTACACAATGCGTGAAAATATTCCACAAAATATTGAGATTACAGAAAATCTGTCATGGGGAAAATAAACAATTATATGGAAAGAATGCTAATTCTTAAACAGATCCCTGCCAAGTAGCTTTAAAAACGCACTTTAACCTTACTTTGCATATTTGTTCATATGCATGCGATAAGCGGCGATAGTAATCGAACTTTGATGTCAAATAAACAAGTTATCAACAAACTACTCGTATAAAACTATTATGAAATAAAATACGAATCAAATTGGTTTCTTTATGTGACGTAGATATATGTAGCAACTCAAGAATATACATATTCACACAAATAACCCACAGATTTCGTCATACAAATTTTATTTCTAATAACTGCTAAAACAGCAATTTCCTAATCATTTGACATAAACAACCCACAAGTATTGAGCTCAAAAATAGACTCTCCAGGTGTTGGAAAATATTAGGTCTTGAATGAAATGGGTCAAATGAACGGCACGGAATGAAATCCGGAATAAAATCAAGACAATGCTAATGCGATGCCCTTCAATTGCTTGATCGTTTTGTTGACATGCGATCTTGACTCGGACTCGGGTGGCTAATGCCAAGTACGATCATAGCAACTTGGCAACTAGTTTTACATGATCCAGGTGAGAAGTTGTTGGCTTAAGGGCCAGACTACTCGACTTAACCACATTATCATTACCTAAGTTTTGAATGGCTGTGTAAATCGGTATCTGATTACCTAATCAGTAATCGCATTGCCCGATGAACTTTGACCACAAAAACCGCGGAAGCTGCGTGCTGCTGTACCAATTATTGCTCAAGTACAGTGGAGCTCAACATAATTTATACGTTATATTTATTTTTAAAAAGACCAACTGAATAATTTGGGCAGAAATATTTATTCAAGGCATGACATTATTTCTCTTAGATCTCCTTTTTATCGGAGCTGTATATTTTTCAACGGATTAAGAAGCTCCCGTAGAGCTTTGACCGATTATTCCCACCTTAATTGCAATCTGAGTTATTTCTGGGTCAATTAAAGGTACTTCAACTCTTATCTTATCGTCCACATGCATATTCAATGGCAAAAAATAGGGTCGGATAAGATTGGGCCATAACCAAAGACTAATTATTCTTAATATAAATTCTTTCGTAGTGCAGACCTAGAGCTCCTAGAATATTATGACAACAAATAAGGATCCCCAAGATAAGGGCTCCGCAACAACGGAGCAGGCGAAAAATGGCACATCCGGCGGTGTGGGAATCATGAAGCGCCTGAGAAGATCGGCATCGGCCACAGAACACAACCTAAGCAATCTAAGGAACCGAAAATCCACTCAGAATCTTTTTGATCAACACGGCAATCCCATTGATCTGCGGCAGTATCGTAAGGTTTTGGATAAAGATGAGAATGGCAATGGAATGAACGGATCAGAAAAGAAGCTGCGGTATAGAAGAACCCAGAGCGTGACCCGGGCAGAGGAAATATCCAACAAGGAGGAGAAACAACGAAGGGCGCAACCTGGCAGACCGTAAGGAGACAACCTAGAAATCACATTTAAAACGAATTAAACTTTATGTCTCTTTAAGGATCCATCGGCCGCGAGACTCGCTCTTTTCCTGGAGCTCTGGTTTCACCAATTTTACAGGTCTGGTGAACTGGGGCTTCCTGCTACTTTGCATTGGTGGACTGCGTCTGGGTCTGGAGAATTTGCTCAAGTAATGTCAAACAATATACATATCTCGACCGAAGGCCGAATTTAAAAACTCATTTTCCAATCCCCAGGTATGGCATTCGCATAAATCCACTGGACTGGTTCTTTTTCATTAGTGGTCACAATGAGGGCGAGGGTCATAATGCCCTAATCCTAAGCATTTGTAAGTAGCAAAAAAACAAAAGAATCTACCTTACATATAGGGACATATGTATATCTACTGCCTTTTCAGACTCTCTGGTTCACATTTCCCTGTGCCTGGCGGTGGAGAAAGGTCTTGCCATGGTGAGTACTCACTTTGATAGCATCTTACTGCAGACTTATTCGATCGCGTCTTAATCCACGAAAGTATCTTGAGCATAATGGTTGTGTAGAGTTGTTGATGGTGGTAAGGATGCTACTCGAAAGTAAAGTGCAATAATATTCTGAATTTTTACTTAAATAAATACAATTTGGAAAAACCGAGGGAAATTGTAGGCGACTTTGACATAATATTCATTGATTATTTGAGTTTGAATTATAACTGACAGTCTTACATTTCAAAAGTCAAGCTCATTCAGTTTGCATCCTCATCAAACTGAATAATTAAAGAGAACTATAATCAGAACCTTAGTGAATTGACAAATATAACTATTTATTGTTACGAATAATACACTAACATATGAAACAAATGTTTTATGACAATAAAAAACGAAACATGAAGTTAGTGATACAGGATGGGTGTATTACAGAGTTGCGAATGTATGGCGAGGTGTTCTTAAGGTCTTCTTTATGCGATGCGTACGCCAGCCTGATCGCAATATTTTTGCAGAACTTGCTTATACTCTGGCTCCAGGGGGGTCAGCAAGTTGGGCAACTCACCGACACGCGTCTGTGAGAACTTGGAGAGCGAGGTGGCCAGAAACTGTCGGGCATCGGTAATGTCGGCAAGGTGATCATGCTGCTTGGGCTGAGCATTGGAGAGTTGGGCAAAAGCGACTTGATAGCCGCCATCGGCGTCGTCAGGCCCTGCAGCAGCCTCTCCTCCATCGAAGGCGGGCAATTGATCTGGCGAGCGCTCGAAGAGATCGATGAGTGAATGAAGCAATCGCGGCCAGAAACCGGCATACTGCGGCTGGAACATTTCCGGAGTTTCGGTGAGGAGCTTCGTTACACCAACGGCCACCATTTTCCGATCCAGGTCCTTGAGAACCTTGCCCATATCGGTAATAAACACTCGCTCCAGCAGCATGCCAAACATGCCGGGCTGGATCTCGTCGATTAGCTGTGCCAGCTGTCCGCCACTGTATTTGATCACATAGAAGCAGAAGAAGACGATGATCCCAGATAAATACTTGGGCGTCTTCGAAAGCGACAAGCGCTGGAAGAGCAGGGCAAAGATCTGGCGCATGCTAGCTTCGATTTCCGCTGCTGGATAGTAGGAAAGGAGATTCTGCAGCAGGTAGAAACCTTCGTGGTCGTTGGCCTTTGAGGCAATCATCTTTTGGAAAATGCCCAAAATTCCGTTCTGTAAAAGTCGAGATTAAATTGATATTTCTGTGAAAACTAGCCTTAGTGTACTTACCAATTTTCCCGAAGCTTGAATTTGCGCTGAACCCTGCTTAATGAAAGCGGAGATAAGGCGAATCAAGGGCGTGACATTGCCAGTGCGATCCCACAAAGCTGGGGCCAACAGGCATGGAAACAGGGCCCAATAGGGCTCTGGTATGGAGCCAGTGCCCTCACGTACTTCCAGCAGTACCGAAAGCATTTGAAAGACGTAGGGCATAAATTCGACAATATCCTGCTGCAGGATGCCCTGGAAAACAGGGAACAAAGCCTCCTCAAAGGAGCTTACAGCCGAGGCTTCAGCCTGGCAAACAATTCTGTAGGAAAAACCAATTAATAACAGCTCCATAATCCAACAATTGTATTACTTACTTAATGGACACAGCCAGCGTTTCGAATAGATAGTGATTGAAATGTGGGCGCGATGGATTCTTGGCCACCTGGGTGAGGATCTCAGTGAGCCGTGGGAGCGCCACGCCCATAAAAGGCATAGAAGCCGATTGCAAAACAGAAAAGCTACGCATGATGGCTAAAAACAATAAAATAAGTTTCTTTTTATAAAGTAAATTCGCAAATCGTTGTGTAAAACTCACCCTTCATCACATACTCATTCTCTGCAGATCCTGGCAGAGAAAGAGTGGCGAATAGTCCGTTGATAAGCTCATTTGAATGTGGTCCCAGCACCTGAGGGCCAAAAACGATTGCTTTGTTGGCATCGCGCATGGTCAGGATCTTCTCCACGGAGCAGGCGGCGTAGCTATGAACCACAATGCTTTCAGCGGGCAAATGCCGGATGAGCTGTGGCAGGCAGCTGGCTAGGATTTGCGGGCCCAAAATGCTGCGGAACACCATTACATACTTGATGGCAGCAGCCTTTAGAACTGGGATTTCATTGACTGCAAAAAAAAAAAACAGGGATTACATTTGTGAGTCTAAAGAGTTAAATGTTTTTACGTACTGTTGGGTCTCTGCAACTCTGGAACAATCTGCTGGGCACAGAACTCCGGCAGTGGTACCAACTCTGAGGTCTGGGTAATGCCATGTTTCTGGGTTCCGCCTCGTGATGCCCACGAGGTGACCAGATAAATAGCCGTATCCTTCGACCTCCAATTGGCAGCTGGATTCTCCTTGTACTTGGTCAGCAATATCTCCAGGTATTGCCCAAAGATGCCAAATATCTTCTGCTCAAAGTTAATGGACAGGGTCTTGACCAGATCACAGGCAGCCCGACGTCGTGTGTCGATGTCAGAGCCTTCGATATCTCGGCGAATATACTCCTCCGGACTGTCTTCGAATATTTCCTCATCTGAGGGCCGTATATCCAGGTTGGGAATGACCACTTTATCGCAAATCCGCGCCAGAATCTCCGGGTTCTCGAAAATGCTCTGATAATGTTTCCGCTCAGCCACCACAGAGAGGAATTGCAGGGAATGGGACACCAACTATGAACGGATTTTGGGAATTAGTTGCGATATTTAATATTCAATTCAACAAACTCACCGCATCGTATTTGGTTTGCAGACTGGTCTTGACCAGCAACTCCCAGACTGCAGTCACGAATTGCTCCATGAAGGGCTTGAATTCCTCGTCGTATTTCTTGGCATAGAGACAAATGTTCTCGCAGACCTGAGTGCGTAGGTGCTCCAGAACACCGGCATCCTCGTCGTCGGCCGTGCGCAGTGATGGCACATCGGCAGCCAGCTGCTGGATAAACGCGCCCATCCAAGTGTTCATGTTATCCTCAAAGAACTCGGGCAAATCCTGCGAGTTTAGGGAATAAAAGACCTTGTTCACCAGCACCAAGGAGCCGTAGATGACTTTCAATGCCTCTGGATTGTTCTCGTGCACCTTCGTCAGCTGCATGGTGGCTTGAAGCAGATCCGTCAGTGGCTTAGCCATACGGTCCAGTACAAATTTGATCTCCTCCCACAGGGACTGGGACTTAAACTCGTAGCGATAGCGCTTAAACAGCGAGTGTGCCGTTTGCAACACCCCGTTGATCACATTGAAATCGCCGGAAGCGAATCTCTCCACCATCTCGTCGATGAGCTGCGGCCATTTTTTCGGAAAATCATGCTTGCCAATGATGCTGACGGCGTCGCTGAGTTGTTTTTGCAGGGCCACCGGCGAATGAAGCATCAGCGTTACGATAAGCGTCTTGATTGTATTCCGGTCACTTTCGTGGATGCGATCCGGTCCGTCGCTGTCCTCGTGGGCCGCCCAATTCCGCTTCACATAGTTCTTAAAGGCAATGGCTCCGGCCACCCGCGTGGTCATGTCCATTTGGGCTTTGTCGATCAAGTTGAGCAGCAGCACCGGGTAGTTCTGCTGCAGTTCCGTGGACTCTAGGAGTTTTTCGGCTGTCGAATATGGTGAATAGGAAAATATTGATCATTAGAACGATTGAATGCGTACATTATAACCATTAGCTTATCAGATTTCAATAAAACTTGGCATAACCTCTAGGACGCGTTATATTCAGCCAAATATATAGCGGTTCTTTCATGTCTAATCAAATCTTGGGACAACACAGTGATTAGGATGATATAAACTTAGCAAATCCCCTCTAAAACTGTAATAATAACCTTCAAAACCATTTCAAAAACACCAGTTTCCCTCTGAGGCGTCCCAAAATCATTTCCCGCGCACGCACACACCGGAGCGACTGCACGCATGTGCATTTGTGTGCGTGCACACACATTCCCCCACACACTTACCCGGCCGGCGGACATTTGGATCGGCACTCAGCGTCTGCTGCAAATAACCGGCCAGCAGCTGCAGATTTGCGTCAGTTACTTCCATTTTGTCTTTGCTTTGTTGCGTGCAGTCGTTCTAACTTTAATAATATCACTGGTCTGGTCGTTTTCTTAATTCTTTATTCTTTCAAACTGTAATGAAATCCTCAATCACTTTTTGCACACTTGGTGTGACCGTAATATATGTGCAGAAAAATACCGCGGCGCCTTGAAATATATCGAACTATTCGTATGGCTAGAGGTTTGAAACTTCGATATAAATATTTTAAAATATTTAACATTAAAACAATTAACTTATTTAATTAATTAATTATTATTAAAAAATAATTATTTTTATTTAGAAATTGAAATATGTCAATATTTAATTATTTATTAATTAATTATTTATTAAATTATTGTTTATAAATTAATTTCTAGGAAATAATTGCGGAAGGCCTGGGTCTCTTCATCCAGATAGTTAACATTGTGGTGCTCGTTTGTCTGCCCGTGGTTACAATCCACCTCAAGGGACACGCCTTCAGCTTGAGTAAGTTAAAAAATGTTTCTTGTAAAGCAATTTATTAAATATATTCATTTCAGTGGGCGCCTCAACCGTTTGCTTTTTTTACTCGGTGCTTTTCCTGAAGCTCTGGAGCTACGTGCAAACAAACATGTGGTGTCGTCAAACGTACTACCAGAAAAATCCCCGGGAGCGCCGTCCAAGCATTACTTTAGCGGAATTGAGTGAGTTCAGATCACTTTAAATCAAATAATAAATAACGTGAAAATTCTCTTAATAGAAAACGGAGCCTTGGATGATGGGGAGGAAGATGAGGCCATTTCCAAGTTGGTTCAGTATCCTGATAATCTGAAATACAGCGATCTGTTGTACTTCCTCTGTGCTCCAACTCTGTGCTACGAGCTGAATTTCCCGCGCACTTCGCGCGTGCGCAAACGTTTTCTGCTCAAACGTTTGCTGGAGGTGGTGATTGGTGTTAATGTGGTGATGGCCTTGTTCCAGCAATGGATCATACCCTCGGTGCGCAACTCCCTGATTCCGTTCTCCAACATGGATGTGGCACTGGCGACTGAGCGACTTCTCAAGCTGGCGGTTAGTAAATGAGCGTTACCTCCTTCAACCGACTGTAATATGCTCCTTCTTAGCTCCCCAATCACCTGGTTTGGCTGTGCTTTTTCTACTTGATGTTCCACTCCTTCCTGAATGCGGTGGGCGAACTTTTAAACTTTGCCGATCGCAACTTTTACTGCGATTGGTGGAACGCCAATAATATTGACACCTTTTGGAGGACCTGGAACATGCCGGTGCATAGGTGGTGCGTGCGTCATCTCTACATCCCCGTCGTCCAGATGGGTTACTCCTCGCGCCAAGCCTCGACCATAGTGTTCCTCTTCAGTGCCTTTTTCCACGAATATTTGGTGGGAACTTAATATATATTTAAGTGTGAATTACTTGCTAATATAATCTAATTTCAGGTCTCTGTTCCACTGCAAACCTACAAGATCTGGGCCTTTATGGGCATGATGGGTCAGATTCCCCTTTCGGCGATCTCAAAATACATCGAGAAGCGGCTGGGTCCCCGAATGGGCAACATAATCGTCTGGGCATCCATTATTCTCGGTCAACCTCTGTGTATAATGGCCTATTATCACGATTACGTGGTCCAGCATTTTAAGAACTCACTCAACGGCACCGAGTACGCCAGTTAGATTTAAAAAATCACTATAATTGGGATATAGATTGCCACTGGGATATATCTGCACACTGGTCTGGTCCCGGTCCGTGTACTTTTTTAAATTTATAAACCAGAATGCAAGTTATGAAGAGAGAAACTTGTGATTGCCACTATACAAAACTGATTTTGTATGACTTTTGGACATGCATTTAGTACTGAACACGAATACATAGATTGTTATTGAATAATGCATTTGTTAATGAATTTAAGTGTCATGTAAATAAAACAAATTATACAATTAAATAAGAAGTTTCGTTTTAATGCTCATTGGAAAATATTAAAAATAATAAATTAAATTTTGCCATGATTCAAATAACGGTACGCGATAGTTTATCACGAGTGTTTAAAATGGCATATTGTCCAGCTATCGCCACGGTCACACTGATTCCCAGCCAAGCCAAAACAGTGACAATTTTTTTCCTTTTTCCGTGCTCAAATTGTCATTGTTTAAGGAAACATTCCGATCGCTCTCCGGTGGTACTTGACTGTCCAACTACGGCATAATTGTGGCCCCACAATCGATCCAATTGCTGCGGTACGTTCTTGGGTAATTGGCAGTCTTTTTCGTCGGCGTTTTCGCGACGCCCGGCACATACACGCACACACTTGAAATTGTGTATGTGTGCAGTGTCTGATTGTGAGTGCGCCAGTGTATGTGTGTGTGTAGCTCGTGCGGGGTCCAATTTTTTTCATATATCGCACCGCCGCATGAGGCTAGAAAATCGCCTTAAAAATATGTTGTTAATTTCCAGGGCTCTTTGGCGAAGTCACCAGCGACTGCAACTGCATCAGCAACTTGTGCACAGTGCAGCCAGCGGCGCAACATCGGCGGAAAAGGGCTTTCGGAATCGGAGCACCCCGGGCTCGTTGGTTTCATCAGCGAAAGAGCCGGCTGATTGTCACGTAAGTGCTCGTGATTCAGATCCAGAGGAGAGCGGCGCTCCATTAATAATCCCAAATTGCTGTTCCAGATCATGAGTGGCAGGTATCGTGGTGGCAGCGGTGGACGCTATGGTGGCGGTGGAGGAGGCCGCGGCGGGGATGGCTACGGCGGTGGGGGGTGGTTACAACGATTTCGACAATTTCCGCGGTGGCGGCGGAGGAGGTCCGGTATTTAATGATAATTTCGGACCCGGTCCCGGCCCAAATCCTTTCAACAGTAAGTACCATTTATGAGAAAATTCCCAATCCTAATTGCCACCATTAATAATATTTCTTGGGTATTTCCAGTGGGCGGCCCTCCCAACATTTCCGGGAACGAGCTGATGCAGCTAATGAGTGCCATGGCCAGCAACTTCAACATGAACTCACAGCCCCCGCAGCCAATGCGACAGAGTTGCGGCGAATTGCGCAATCACCACTGTGGACTCTTTGTGGAGCTGTCTGGCAGGTTGATCAAGAAGCGGGTGAACCGCTTTGCAGAGCTCCGGGATCGCAACGGCGGAGCCTGCCAGCTGGTGGTGCTGGAGGACAAGCATCCGCGGGTGGCACGGCGCATGAACAACATGCCCGAGAACACCACGCTGACGATTGTGGGCCAGGTGATGCGTCGTCCGCACAATTCTTGCAATCAAACTATGCCCACGGGTGAGATTGAGGTGGAGGTGCAGGACATTCTCAACATTCACTTCCCGGCCAGCGGCACAAAGCGGGCGGGAGACAAGCGCACCTACAGCACCATGGTACAGCAGCAGAGCAACCTGGGCATCACCAGCACCGAGTACAAGATAGCCAGTGAGTGGTTTTGAATCTTATATACCTTAAAAATTAAAATAACACGACAAAATATTTCTTTTAGAGAACGAAAACATCTTAAAGTACTTTGAGAATCGCGATCTCACCTGCAATGACCTGAGGCGCGACGATATTGGCAAGGAGGTCACCCTAGTGGGTTGGGTTCCCTCAACCAAGAACAACAAATTTCTGCAGCTAAAGGATGGCTATGGCCAGACGCAACTCATGATCGAGGACCAGACGGTAGGTGAACAACTTTTTGCGTGATTTGTACACCCTTTAATACCTGCTCCTTTTAGCTCAGCGACACCTTCTTGTCCACGCCAGAGCAGACAGTGGTTCAGATCGTGGGTAAGGTTCTGGGCAGACCCAAGGCCAATATAAATCTGGTAAGTTCACATATAGGAAACCTGAATGTTAAGATTTTCTATATATAATTTCTCTTGCAGAAATATGACACTGGTGAGGTGGAGGTCAGTGTGTCAACCGTTAAAATCCTCAACCCGGACGATCCCTATGAAGGCCCCATCAAGGCCAAGGAGAAGCAACAAAAGCTCTCTATCGATGATCTCGAGTCCGAAGAGGCTGGCGCTGAGGCTTCGTCCAGCGTTAGCAGTAACAACGGAGAGTCCAAGGAGGATGGATCGGACATACCGCACTCAGCCACCCTCTCCACGAGTGCAGAGCAGCGTGTCAAGATTGCGGATACCAACAAGTTCGCCGATCGTACACACAATTGCGGCGAGCTGTCTTCCAGTGACATCAACGAAAAGGTCGTTATTTGCGGCTGGCTGGAGTTCCAAAGGATGAACAAGTTCTTCATCCTTCGGGACGCTTATGGACAAACTCAGGTTCTCTTGCTACCCAAGACCACGGGTCTGGAGGAATATGTGGAGACGGGGGTGCCCATCGAGTCGATTGTGCGCGTGGAGGGTACCGTGATACCTCGGCCAGCGGCTACGATTAATCCCAAAATGCAAACCGGCCACGTTGAGGTAGAGGCCGATAAGGTTGTTGTGCTCAATCCGGCCAAGAAGAACTTGCCCTTCGAGATCAGGAAGTTTAATCGCGCCGGCGAGCGCTTGAGACTCACTCATCGCTACCTGGACCTTCGATTCAACGATATGCAGCACAATCTTCGCCTGCGCTCGGCTGTCATAATGAAAATGCGCGAGTATCTGATCAACTATTTGGGCTTCGTTGAGGTGGAGACGCCGACGCTCTTCCGACGCACTCCCGGCGGAGCGCAGGAGTTTGTGGTGCCGACCAGGAAGGCCGGGCACTTCTACTCGCTCGTACAGAGTCCGCAGCAGTTCAAGCAGATGCTGATGTCGGGCGGAATAGACAGATACTTCCAAGTGGCTCGCTGCTACAGGGATGAAGCCACCCGTCCCGATCGTCAGCCGGAGTTTACCCAACTGGACATAGAGCTTTCCTTCACCAGCCGGGACGACATCATGCAGTTAATCGAGGAGACCTTGCGCTACTCGTGGCCAAAAGATTTCCCCAAACTGCAGACTCCCTTCCGACGCATTACCTACGAGGAGGCACTGGAGAAGTACGGCATAGACAAGCCCGATACTCGCTTTGGCTTCCTTCTCAACAATGTTTCGGAAATAATCGAAAAGAGTGGCAACTTTAAGGAGAAATACGAGAATTTCGGCGCCTATGCCATTGTGGTGCGTGCCAGCGAAGCCTTCTGGAATGGCAATGCCCGGAAGCATTACGACGGCCTGGGCAAGCTGTTCAAGGGCACGTTATTCGTTCGCAAGTTCGGGCCCGCGAAGGATGTGCAGGAGAAGCTGGGCAAGCTGCTGGGCGAGGAAGTAGCCAACGAAGTTGCTGAGAAGTTCGATCTGGAAGAGAATGATCTGCTTTTCCTGGGCATCGGACCCAAAGAGGAAACGGTAAGTTATTAATTTATATATTATCGTGATTCCATTAGCTAAATATTCCTTTTTATTTATGCAGCGCACTTTGTTGGGCCGCATTCGATTGGATTACCAGGAGTTTCTGGTGGAGAACGCCAAGGTGAAGAAACCGAATGACTTCCGATTCCTTTGGGTAATCGACTTCCCGCTGTTTGAGCGAAACAGTGAGACCAACCAGTTGGAGAGCGTGCACCATCCTTTCACGTTGCCACACGCCGATGATCTCGACAACTTTGCCACCAGTTGCGATAACCTGGAGAACATACGCTCTCAGGCCTACGATTTGGTGCTCAATGGCCAGGAAGTTGGAGGAGGATCCATTCGGATACACGATCGGGATATGCAGCACTTTATTCTGGAACAGATTCTGAAGATCCCTCATGACCATTTGTCGCACTTACTAAGCGCCTTGGAGTCGGGATGCCCACCGCATGGTGGCATTGCCCTGGGCCTGGATCGCCTGATAGCCATCTTATGTCGGGCGCGATCCATACGCGATGTGATTGCATTCCCCAAGTCCTTGAATGGCCGGGATCCGCTGTCGAATGCTCCGGTGCCCATTTCCGACGAGGAAATGAAGCTGTACCACCTTTCGGTGGCGGAGGCGGCGGAGGAGGAGGAGGAGGCCAGCACAAACAACTCGGCGCACGAACAGGAGGACGACGATCCCGACCAGGAGCGTGCTCCGCCATCGCCAATGTCAGGGACTAGCGAAACTGAGCAGCCCGAAATGGAGGTGGATATTAAAACGGAGCCGGTGGAGGTGACCGTAAAGGAGGAGGTGGAGACCGAGCCGTCGGAAGATAAGGAGCCAAGCAAAGCAGACCCCGCCGATGAGCCCGCTCCTCCAATGCCAACGCCCACTCCCACAAGGGCCAGGCGGGCTGTTAAAAAGAAGGTCTAGAGGTCTGGGCCTTCACTAATATTACGGATAAAGGATTAGCATTTTACATGTGTAAGCTCAGTCAGTAGTCAGGACGGAGATTAAAAGCGCAGCCACAAACCAGTCAACCAACACACAAAGATCGTAGCAGTCGGGTCGGCTCCATTGACTCGCGCTTACCCCTTTTATACATTCAGAATATGTATTCGCAAAGGCAATATATGTACCCACCACTCCGGATCTTGTCGGAAGATTGCAATACCCAAACCTAGGACGTAGGCAATCCCGGCATACCGACCCGACTGGCCTGGCCACATTCTACAAGTCCATTTCTAATTATTATGGCAACCCACAAATTGATTACAATTTACGATATAAACAAATCAGCCATTATATTCAGAATTGTTTAAGTATGCCGCGAGTTTTAATATTGTTTTCATTTGAATCTGATTTTCGGTCATCGGTTGTTTTGAATTCAATTATTATAGCTACTATTTAATTAATTTATGTACCATTGATTAAAATGCAATTGTATTAAACGGAACACCATTGAATCCTCGGAGGAGTGCATTTTTGGTCCAAGAATTGTCCGATTTAAACCTACACCCATTGTCAATATTTTTGGAGATATTCTTCAATTTCTATTGAACATTTAAAACTGCATATATAAGTTAATAAAGAAATACTATTTGAGCATGAGTTATAGCGCTTAAGAGGTAGCCATCTTGCCAAAGTATTCTTTGTCCTTTCACTTGTATTGTTTAACTATAATATAATTTGATTTGAAACGCACTGAATTTCTAATTATTTTGTCAGCTTAGGTGATGCTTATTTATTAGTAAGGAATGGGGGCAAGGAAGGTGTTTAAATCGCATGGAAAGCGTCGGTTCAGGCTAATCCAATGTGGGCACAGCAAATATGTTATTCTCTATGAAGCCATAGGTCAGGTTCCTCCGGTAGTCCAACCAGCTGACCGAAGGTGCCTGCGTACTCAGGTGGCGGTCATCGGGATCGACGAACTCAACCAGATCCTGCTCCTCCACAGAGTCGTCATCGACGTTCTCCTTCTGCTCGGGACTGAAACTGGTCCAGTGCTCATACGGATCCTGGTCCCCTTGGGGAGACATCTGCAGGTTGTTAAAGCTGGCCGTCAGCTTGCCAAACTGATCGATGTGCTGAAGTAGGGGATCCACGCCCTGATTTGGTGGCGCTGACAACTTCTGCGCAGGAGCTCTCCAATGCGGTTTCTTAGCTCCAAGAGTGGGTAAATCGGTCCACTTGCCCAAGGCAAAAGGTGAACTATCGTTGGTGTCTATCATAAACATTCCTCGAGTAGTAGGACGTATGTTGTCTCCGGCTTCAAGGAGGAAATTGGTCGGAGGGCACATTCCCAGCAGGTAGGAGATGTAGCCGCTGCAAGCCCAGCCCCAGAATCCTTTGGGAGAGCGAATGGACTCCAGGAAATAGGCAGGCGCACGCTGATGGCTGCAGGCAAAGGAATCTGGAAAACCAATTAATTGCGCATCTTCCGATAGCTAAAACTAAATTAACTCACTTATTTTCTGGCCACTGCATCCTGGCTGCATGATTCCTCCGTTCATATAAAAGTCGGCATGGCCACATCTTTCCATTTTTCCCTGGACCAAAGCGTTTGTGTGAATCACATCCACGTAGTTGGCGTCGCTAGGGTCCAGCTTATCCGCAATGCCGGAGGTGATAAACAGGGGCATAGCTGGATCCAAGCCGGTGATCCTTGGCAGTATGAATGAGCTCAGATTTCGGGCTATATAATTTGGCACTTGAGCCCCCAATGAGAAGCCAATTACGTGGATATCCGTGTTTCCCGTCTCCACCAAGCGTTCCACCAGCTGTGCCGTACAGGTGCCCGCATGTCGGGTGTTGTGAACGGCACTAACATAGCAAGGTCCTGGTGACAGGATACTCCAGTCCACATAAATAATATTATAGTCCGCCTTGGCCAGGTATTCTGCGAAAAGTAATGGTAATTCGGAATTATAATTTTATTACAAAATAACCGAATACCATCTCTCATTTGCTGCAGGGGATGCAGAAACATATCCGAGTTGTAGCCATGGATAATGATCTTGGTGGGATATCTGGGATTGAAGTAGGAGGCAGTAAGATTGGACTTCTCCAGGGATTCGTCAATATGCAGGCACTGCCTGTCCATTGGATTATGGCGTGTGTAGATATAGTACTTGACATCCGGATCCGGACAACTGCGGCCTATGGCCCACTTGCAAGGCCCGATGGTGATGTCCCTGTTGGAGGGCGCTGAAGGAGCAGATGGCGCTTGAGTAGTGGGACTCTCTGTGGCGTCTCCATCCCCGCTAACATGAATGGGCTTCAAGTTTATAAATCCTCGGCATAAAGCAGTTGGAACTAAACACACTGAAAAGAGTCGGTAGGTAATGCTTTTATTATGGGTCTAATGGGATTTTCCGGACTTACTCACCTAAGAGCAGGCAACCAATTACACACCGCCCGTGCATCTTGTGTGGACTCTGGTGACTCGATCTCGATTATATAGCCAGCTGCAGTTCCAACTGATTTAAAACAATAATGCTAAAATGAATTTCTTTGCCAGTATCATGAAGTGTTCGGTCTGGAAACGTTGGAGAAACTGAAGGCCGGCTGGTCAAGCCAAGACGATTTTGGCCAAAATCGAGCTCAGTATGGGTAAGTGATATGCAAATGAGTGAGTGCTTTCCTAGTGGTGTGCGTTTGAGCCATCAACTGCGGCTATAAAGTGAGAGTTGCGGGTGGAAAAGTGAAACCGAAACGAGTGATCTATGAAAATGTCATAAGTAAACTATGCCAAGAACGTGGGACGCATAGAATAATAACAGTTTTATTCATTTTCCTGATCTCGCCTTTCTTATGAAAGATACTTCTGATCCAATTCAAGAACAACAAAAATCTGTTTATAGTCTCAGACATTTATATGATTTGTTTACACACACGTCTCGGGCCAAAAACTCATAAATGCATTTACACAACACTCACTCACTCAACAATAATCACTCATAGAAATATATACACTCACCTACGTGTTTGTGGTTTTAAGTGTCAGCCGAATGCGTTTACTGAATGAAAACTTTTTGTTGTGCTTTTGTCATTTGCAAACGATCTTCGCGCACGTACAAAGGCGTATGTTCGGTGGTGTTTTGCATTTATAGAAATGCCGTGGCCTGAACCAGAATCTCTTACCATTATTGACTCAGACTTGTTCCGTAGACCCACATAGATAACCCGGTATTAATTCCCGACCCGGGTCAATGAAAACAAACTGGAAGCAAGGCACGAAATATAAACAGACCATATATCTTCATAAATGGAGCATTATGGCCATAATGCGGTTAAACGTTCTAAAGCCAAATACTTAAGTACTGGCCATAATTTCATTCCATCCTAAAAGAACCCTGTGTTTTGCTAAAATAGTTCTCTGGAAATGTTTTTGATGATTTTTCAATTTATTACCGGTACGTGTGTCGAGAACGCCCACGGCTTTTCTTCTCGAAATCCACTCGCGACGAAGCGATATATATTATATACACAATATTCGGAATCTATATGTGCATACCCTATAATCTGGTCTATGGAATGTCAAGCAAAATACGAATTAATGATCGGATGGAAAGACATTTCCCGCCTCAGACTTTAAATGAGCGACATGTGTGCCTCTGATTGGTAATATTGTCAAGACTATTAAATTATTTATAGTGAATTTGCCAATGTAAACCTCATAAAATTTATATTAAGAATGTGAGAGATATAGACAATTTAATTAGAAATTCGGCACTATAAGACAAATTACGATATTGCTATTTTTAACCCACTAAAATAACAACATAATTAGTCAGGTAATAGTGATATTAACACCTCAATAACATATTTGGTTGAAGCCTAACTAATATAGGTTACAAGTCAAATGTATTCTGTTATAAATAGGGAAACAAGGTATAAATATTTTTTTATTCTGTTTTATTTGAATTCTTATTAATTAATATTTTCTAATTCAAAATTGCTATTCACACATATTGATCATACATCTGGCTGACGGATTCATTGGCTTCGCCGCTCCACACTTGAAGGCCTCCTGGAACTCCGGCATATTCATGTAGCCCCTGTTCAGTTGGGCTGCAAAGATGTCAGCCTGGCGATTACACAGCTGCTGGGCCACCGCGTAAAAGAGCACTCTTTGCGGATTCAAGCCAAAATACTGCAGCACAAAGGTTTCCGCAAAGGCGAATCTTTCGCCCTGCAGCCAAAAGCGATAATCTCGCAGAGACGTCTGAAACGAGCGATGGAAGTGGAAGATCTCCTTGATCTCGTCAAAACTTAGACTTCGATAAATTGGAGCCAATTCGGCATCAAAGTGCTGAAGAGATTGTCTCTCGAGGCAGTCCATGGCGGTGTAGCTGCCATCGGTATCCAGAAGAAGACGTGACTGTCGCCAAAGCTCCAATCCCTGAGTAGCATAGTAGTGAAAAGTGGGTCTATACAGTGAGAGCAGGACAAAGTGAAGGAAATGCCTGAGGAAATAGGCAGGTTGATTGACATCCTCTTCGTCTATATAGGGGGATTCGAAGCTGTGGCGTAGCTGGGCGCGTCTAAGTAGCAAAAGATTGCCGTGAAAGGAGTTCCGTTTGAAGCTCACACCGCTATAGGTTTCGTTCAATTCACTAATATTCAAATAGTGCTGAGCATGAGCCTGGAGGATGCGAGCCACCTGTAGCTCCTTTTTTTCAACAGAAGCTGGGAGCAGATAACCATACCAATCCCTTTGGGACAGACTGGATCTACGCCGTTGCTGAAAGCGAGTAGTGTGCAGTTGGTAGGCGGCCAAGGCCACCTCCCTGCTCAGGTGGGAGTTCAAGACATGCCATTGCCAGTACTCGGCGTGCAGTAGCCTCTCAAACTCCTCTGATACCCTGTAGCAGTCTGGGTAGCGTAGGTGCTCCTTGGCCTGCCACAACACGTAGTTGTAAACTATGCGAGGCTCAGTTTGCCTCAAGACTTCCCAAGCCGTCGTGATCTTGTCCACATCTAGGGGAAACTTTCGAGCCCTTTCCAGCTGTTCCTTGGAAAAGTTCAGGGAGCCAAAGAAGTGCTGAAAATAATCCATTGTATTCTCATCCAGCAGAAGCTGCTCTTGACCAGGGCTGGCTGTGGTGGTCCTGTCCTTTCTGGTCAAACTTCTAGCGAGCGGCAACTCTCCTCTCATTCCGCGACACAGAACTCTCATCTCGTGGGATATTACGTGCGAAACGCGGTGATGACGGCCCTCTAAAACATCGGAGAGACTCGTCTGAAAATCCTCCATGCTGGGACACGGCAGATCCTCCAAGGGAGCTACATAAATCGTTTCCTGAGCAAAATAGATGTTTAGTAAGGTGGGCACGCCATGAGCTGCCAGTTGAGCCGAAAGAGCGATCCAATTCAGCTGCCCATTGAGGTGTCTTCGTTCCCACTGATGCTGGAGAAAAGGCCAATCTCTGAGCACCGTCTCATGCTGTGCAAGGAAGGGTATCTCCGACAGCAGGCTCTCCCAATGAGTGGGTGGATTTACACAGAAAGCATTGCTTTGCCCTCTTTGCCGACACTCCGAATATAGTTGCGAAATCAATTTGCCAGGGAGAGTCTGGAAGTTGGCCACCTGTGCCGTAAAGAAGCCCATCCTATCCTGCTTATTGTAGAGATAAGGGGGCAAAGATTCATCCGGATCTTCCTTCAATGCCTGATCAAAATTTCCGCATGCATGGGCGTAAAAATCGTCACACGGATCCAAAGAGTCATTCTTGATTTTCACCATCTGTCGCAGATTGCTTTTGTAGAGGTGGCTAAAAAACTGGCCCGATTCCACGTCCGATTCTGTTTCCGGTTCTGCTTCCGTATTATCCGTAACCGATTCCGTATCATTTTGAGATCTGACTATATTTATAACTATAGCTAATAACGCCAACTGAAGCTTCCAGTGCATTTTATTCGTCCGCTCGATTGTTTTGTTTCGCGAAAACTGCGCAAAAATTTCGTCTTACTCGGACTCACTCTCTAATGGGAGATGATAAGCCTCGGATCGAGCTAGAGTATATGTGCACTCTAGATTCTATCGCCATGCTCTTAATTCTCTTTGCACTCTCCTGGTTCCATTCTAGAACTCGCCTTGACCTTAAAGACTTTTGCAATTCCGTTTCGCCTGCTTCTGCCTTTGCTTGTTTAATGAGGAAACGAACTTTGTTTATAGATATGGATTATTATAGGTTTTTGTTTATGACTTTGATGTGGTTTTGAAATGGGATTTCATATTTTAATTATAAACAAACGTGTGGTTTATCACCGCGGCAAGGTCACGCCCTATTTGAATGGGAAATTTGGCATATATAAGGAGAGTTTAATAAATAAAATATGTGACGCTTAATTACATTTGTTACATTTCAAATTTAAAATCATTATTATTTTTCATTGAAAACTAATACCTCCTAAATAGAAAAAAAGAAACTTGCGCAAACATCATAAATCTAGAAAAGCTTACTTTGTCTCACAAATATTACGTATACGCAATGTGGTCACAGCTGCATTAGCTCAAACATCCCAGAATCAGTTCACTTTGAAAACAGAAATCCTTATATTCTTGAGAAAAACTACTACAAAGTTCAAAAATCTTAAAGCACAAACTTTTTCTGAATGCCCCAATCATGTCAAGGCTCTTATTTTGATTTCATCAATTGATGAGTTCAAGCGAACGACATTTCATCAACCTGTACATAATTGTTTTGGTCATTAGAACCATTACTTGTATATATATTCGTGTCACATTTTTGGCGTTTTTGCGCCATCTGCCCATTGCATTTTCAAATTGACTTAATGACAAGTGTCAGCTTAGGGAAAGTGTATGTTTTTTTTAGAAAAGTCATGGACCCGAAATGTGCGACAGTTGTTTATGAACATTTTTTGTTGGTCGTATGTATAAAGTCCTCAGAGGGAAATATGGATGTTTGTTTGGGGTATATAGTTAAAGAGCATTTTTATTTAAAAGGGAAATATCTGGGATTCTTGATCTCAAATGATTTATATTCACAATGATACCACAAATAGTAGCTCGTTCCTTAGCACTTGCGGAAATTCCAAAATTCTGTCAATATTTTCAAGGCAAATGTTTCAGGTTTGTTGCTTTTTAAACAGAAAATAGAACAAACTTGGATACAGAAAACTATATAGTAGATGCGTGAATTATTTTTAATGAACGCATTGTTATTGTTGGGGGTTTGGCTTCAGATCCGGCCAGCGGCTGCTCGAAAACTGTCAAAATGTGCGCCGCAGATTTATTTTATTTATTTTCGATGTTATTTCGACGCGACTTTCCAAAAAGTCTGCACTTTCTGCCTCAGTAGTGGCGTCTCATTTTTGCCAATGGGACAAAATATTTCGCTATATATCCATAAACACCCATACACTCTCGCTGATATATCCACACTTGTCAGGCCTTTTCCAACTGAGTGTGTATGGATGTTCGCAAGTCCGCTAAGTATTTCATCTATATCCCAATTCGTGGACGGGCGAACGATTTTAGTTGAGCCAAAGGCTTTCAGCAGTTAGTAGCCCAAAAATTGTGTCTTCCCCAGCGGAAAAAAAACAAAGGTAAACCAGGCAGGGGAGAAGTGCAGGAGTGACCCGAAAGATCTCCCATCGAAATGCTACGATTTTCGGAATTTCGCATTTAAATATCGAATTCAAGTGTGCCGTGCTCATAAATATTTCTTCAGCCGTGTTCTTTTCAATTTTTTAAGTTGGAACGGGTCCAATCTATAAAACTGGAATTATTTCAATCTATATAGACGTGCTGTTCTTTGATTGCTCTATCAGCAACACGAAGAGAACGGAATCATCAAATAGATATAACCAGACGTAGGAAAAACCAAAAGAATTTCATATTTTCCATATGGCTTTGATATCGCTCTCTCTCTTGAGTTTATATAAACATCTTTACTTATATATGTTCGGATTTTATTTGATTAGCTTATTTTAAAACAAAATCATATGTGTTTCCGCAGAATTTATTGCCGCCTTTTTTATGTTTCTATCAAATTAAACTTCTCACGCGCCAAATGAAAAAGTTTTTGAATATATTTCATGTATATGTAACGCGCAGGAATTTTTAAATAATTCAACCTTCGTTTGGCTGACTTCCAAAATTAATACTAATGACCGCTTCTCTCCGATTTCTCTGCAGAAAATCAATATGAGTGAAGCCCAGAACCTGTTTACCACTTTCGGCATCCTGGCCATCCTGCTTTTCTTCCTTTACATCATCTATGCCGTGTTGTAAAATGTTAGGCCCTGCAGGAGGTCCGTAGAGCAAGAAACAAGGTAAGAAATTCGATGGTGAAATTATATGTATTTGTAAATGGAGAATCGAACTTTCCTAGCAATTGACGTTGAAAATATCTGAGAATATGTTAGATCCCATAATAAATTGAACTCATAAGTACCTGGAACTTTGCTAGATATTTTAAATATTAATTTTATCTGTTATTAGTTAACATTTTCTAAAATCTTGTATTCCATATTCTCAGTAAATCATTTTTGTAAACAAAAATCTCTTGGCAATGAACAATATTGCTTGGTTTATATTCAGTTGCAATTACCCCATTTTCCCATTGATTTTACTTGAAACGAATTCGACATCAATTCCAATCCTTGAAATGCTCATTAAGACCACAATGTGCCATAAACTCAAGGGGGGCTACGTGACCGTTGCTCGATCGTTTCAGATTCTTTCAATATTTAAAAAGATTTCAAACAACAAACCTGGCAAAATCCATTTGGCTATTGCAAGTAAATAAATATGTTATGTTAATCAAACAAACAGCCGGGCTGGAGAGAAAACATCTCCCCGGCCACCGCAAAAACAAAAATAAATAAATAAAAGCGCCTGAATGAATTTTTCAAATGACAAGGTCCAGTCAAGAGAACGGCAATTTGTCTAGGTGCAGTCCAGCCAGTGAATTATGGCCAAAGAACATACAGAAATGAACTAGAATCCCATGGAATCCGCATATATGTACATGCATGTATCCAAAATATATATGTTTGTCTGTGCCGAACTATAACCCGTATATACACACGCATACATGACTCTAGAAAATATTTGTGCCGCGGCAAAAAATATGAGCAACAACTGGACACAAACACAGTCAGAACAGCCGGCGGTGGTATAGATATATAAATGAATTTTTTATATATCGCCTATATAATTGGATGTATGTGAATGCGTGCGGGTGGCTGGGCATAGCCATAATTCCAAGCGCTGGCCAACATTTCGTGGAGAAGTGGAATCAGATCGGAAAATTCGGCTTCTCAGTTATTGCGCGCCTTTAGCTACGAACGGTTGGAAATCTCTCCAATAAGAAAAGCCCCTGCCCTTACTTGCCAAGTGTGTGTGTGTTTGTGATCCGTGACGAATCGATCAGTTGCTTACCTAATCCGCATTATCCCTTGTCATCGATAGCAACCAGCACCCACCAACAACGCATCCAAGATGAATGAGGCCAGAAGTTTGATCACCACCTTCGCCATCCTGGCCTTCCTGCTGTTCCTGCTCTACGCCTTCTACGAGGCCGCCTTCTAGTCCACCACCACCCAACCATGCCCCCACCCATCAATCAATCAGTCAATCAAGGATAGCTTACATGTTGAATTTCAATTCCAAGTCCCCGCCACATCGAGTCCAGCCCTAACATCCGGCGGCCGATGGCGGGGCTTTTAGGACCCTACGCGTTTAAGATGTTTAGCATTTAATGGATTTCTACTAGTAACCTAAGCCAGGTGAGTAACGCATCCCAGCTCCTCCAATTAATTCAATTAGCAAGCAGACACATCACAAAAATACATGCTTATATTTTATAAAATCCTAAAGAACGCGCATTGCGAAACCTTGACAAAATCTCGACGCGTTCGTCGAAAATTTTTTGGCAGCCATTCGGCAGCTCGATAATAATTTTCCAAAGCGAAAAAATAGATTCTCTGGTTCTATTTTTTAACGACAAGATTTCGACATGGCCCACTAAACACCTTCCTGTCGTCGTGGCCCCCCTTCGGTGCCCTCCCTTGAGGACATTAAAAATCGCTTTCACACAGAATATTTTCCGAATGTCGCAACTCTGTGATCCAAATTTGCACCCGAAAATTTCCCGGATCTACGGTGCACACACAGGCGTAGAAATGTTCAAAGCATCTGTGTTTTTTATGGCCAGAATTTATGATTGGCTAAGGTGGAAATTATAATTATACATTTTATTAAATGTTTTCGAATATATTGCCCTGTTTGATAGATAAGCCAAAAGACATACGCTTCTTTTGTTTTTTTTTTGGCAAGCCAAGTCAACATGCGCACTTTTTTCGGCTAAAATCCCTGCCTAAGTTATATGTTGTCGAACCAAAAATAAATTTCAGAGAAGCTTATGGTCTTTGGAACAAACAACGCAATTGTTTATGCCATTTTGTGGCCACTTGAGCAAACAAAGCGCACATAGAATATATGTTTTCCTTTGAGGAAAAGTAATTTCTATTTTACAATCAATAAATCGATCTCATCAATGGCCGATTATTTTATAAATTGAGTTCACCAAATAAATACCTGACTAATGCACAATTTCAGATGACGTCAAAGCCACCAGCTGTCCGAAGATCGGAGGCTCGCCGGTGTTATGGGATCATGATCACGATCATCGATGTGATCGATGGACCACCCCTGCCGAGTGGTGAGTAGGATTAATCACGCTCCCCTGGATGCGCTTCAATTAAATATTTTCCCTCTATTTTCTCCTTTTTGTTTTTTCTAGTGCTGCGCTAGATTTCCTCCATCCATCGAGGCGCTGCAAGACCGATCCATCCGATTCCGCGGGGTTCTGCTGGCGAGGCCTTGGCGTCATCTGTTCTAATCATAAATTTAGTTTTGTGATTTCTTCATTTTTGTTTCGCAATGGAATTCACTTAGTTTGCAATTTATAGACCATGATGTACAGTATAAGCAAAACAGCAGCAATCAATGTGAACGATCAGGAATTGGTTATTTCATTGTTAAACAACAAGTTTAATTCGCATTCGTACTTAGTAAGACATACATAATGTATAACTGCATTTTACCCCACTTTTCTTTTCATTTTTTGTGAATAACCACACATGCAGAACAACAGCAAAACAAACAACATCAGCCCAACTGCAGGAATAAAAGAAAAAAAAAACAAAGCTTTAAATGTGTTTTTAATTGGGGATTTTAAATATATTTTAGCAGATTTTATTAATGATCAGTTTGGAAAACAAATTGTATTAATTGGTACGTATAATAGGTGAAAGTTTTGTGTGATGTAATTAATTTCATCTGAAAATTGGGAGACTTATTTTTGACATACAAAACTGAACAACGTTTAGGGCATACTTTCAGGCTGTGAGTAGCGAAAAATTATTTAGTAAAATATTTAAAAAATGTACAAGGAAATATACAAAACTGTTTTTACTTTTGCTTGCTATTCAGCTATGACTTATAAATTTTTAACCTAGGACTCTTCATTTCATAGTATAATTCAGACATATTTTTAAGTATCTGTTTTTATGTTGTGTGTACAAATTATATTTTTGTTAGCAATTCATAAAATTACATTGTAAAGTAATATTGTTTCTGTGTGTTACACAGACCACAAGTACTTGAGCTTCATTTGCATTCAATCATATTTCTAACTACCTTGCAAAAAACATAATAAATCGGCTAAGCGAAAATCGTAAATGCATACAATGCACAAAACAACAAAAAGTGCAGGCAATGAAGCGAAGACATCGTCATAGCAGCTGTTTTGGCGGCTTCCGTCTGCCGTTGGTCGATTTGTCGGTCAGCAAGCTGGCGCGCTGGCCAACCGGTTTCATGGCTAAAACCGTCAACACCCCCTGGTCAATCCTCTGCATACTGCAACCCCTCATCAGGAAACCAAATTGCAGCGGTTATGCAATCCGGCAGTGCTTTGTGCATTTTGGCAATTGATTTCGCCAGCCGGTTTTCACGACCTTTTGTTTTGTTTTTGTTTTTTATATTATTTTATTTTGATTTTTTCTTGGCTTTGTACAAAATAACTATTTAATAGTTTAGGCCTTAAGACTAAGAACCAAATATTTACATGACCCGTGACCCTAGCTTAAGGCGCTACAGCAGTCCCAGTTTCTGCTGCTTTTGCTCTAGAGCCTCGACCCTCAGGCGCTTGAAGAGCTGGTGACCCACGTAGGTGCGGATACGTAGGGGAGCCATCTTCATGAAGAAGTACTGAAAGGAAAGGAAATATATAAATTTTTATATTTTTAAAAAGGAGGAAGCTCTCCCGCTTAACATTTTATATACACACCTGCAAGCCATGTGTCCAAAAGCCGTTCGTCTCGCTCGTTTTTCCCAGTGTAAAAACAGCAGAACGCGCAAAGGTATAGGCGTTGGGGAACAAAAGACCGCCTTGCATCACCCGATCGGCGTAGGCGTTCATCTTGGTAACCACGAAGTTGGGCATCACCAGCTGCACATGGATGTTATGCTCCTCCAGTTCCAGCTCCAGGGCCTTGGTAAAATAGGTCACAAACTTCTTGCTGGCCGCGTAGACGGTCATGTTGGGCAGCGGCTGCAGCTCCGAGGCAGATCCCAGGTTGACAATGGCTCCCTTGCGGCGCCCTATCATCTGTGGCAGGATCTTGCGGGTGAGCATGGTCACGGATCCCATGTTGACGGTCAGCAGATTCCACAGCAGCTTCTCCGGCACCAGGTCCAGGCTGTCTGGGTGCTCGTACATCATGCCCACATTGTTCACTATAAAGTTTATAGAGAAAGTGATATTAATTTCGATTTAAGTGAGTCACTAACTAAAATCAAAGTTCGATTGTTATCAATGAAGCAAAGCCTCACAAGACACAGGCAAATCATAAGCTAGTTATTTTTATAGCAAGTCCGATAAAAGTTTTCGTGACGAATAAATTCCCATGACCAAGATCAATGTCAACTGTTATCAGGCAAAATTTTTGTAGTAGAAATGCCTTGAGGCGAGCGCAAGGTCTCTTTCTCGAAATGTAAATTGCTGAAGCGCGTCAGAGTCTGAAGCGTTTATGAGTCTGCCGGGGCGAATAAAATGTATATTTATGTATATATATGAACGAAAAGCCAACAACAGCGCATCGCCGATGTACTTGAACATCGCCTAAGCCACTCTTTGCCTCGCCAATAGACCAAAAACCAGAGTCATTATAATTGCACACAATTATTACTGTTTGACATTGGCAGCCACACAAGAGTCACAAAAAATAACAAATAAAAAGCTGCTACTGCTTATTGCCGGTTTGCTACTGTGTTGACAATGACGAATGTACAATATACATACATCAATTTGTTAATGAAGTAACTTTTAGTTAAAAAACTTCTATGATTAGGCAACCAAGAAATAGGAAAAGTATTTTGTATCATATAAAATATTCGTAGTTGCATCAAAAGTTATTAGCTAAGAATAATATTATTTAACTAGTAATTCCTTTTTGATACTTTAAAAATTCTTCAGTTAAGTTGAATATTTTCAATATTTTCTTTTGAAATTATATATTTACAGAACCCTTATCCTTATTTGAAACAATAAAGTATCTCTTCTAGAAACACTCACCCAATATGCCAACTTCAATGCCAGCCAATTCCTTCTCAATCTGATCGTAGATTTCAAGTCCCTTGGTAAAATCCACAGCAATCCACTTTGTCTTCACTTTGTACTGGCTTTCTGAAAATTGTAAACCAATCTTAAGTTTATTCTATACAGCGGATTTAAGTATTGCTTACCAATCTCGTTGGTGGTGGCGATGAGCTTTTCCTTCGTCCTTGAGATGAGCACCAGATTGAGACCTTGGCGGGCCAGCTCCCTGGCATATTCCTTTCCAATGCCATCGGTGGCACCCGTCACCACTAAAGTGAAGGGAATCCAAGGAGAACTTGATGAGTACAATCGAAGGTTGCCAAAAGGAGCGGAAACCGCATTTTTTTTACAAGCGATGGAAAACATGGAAATGCATGTGGTTGATGAGTTGTAATTAAGTTATTTTGGAGTTTAAGAATATTTGTTTTTAATATTTAGGTTTTTTTAAAATCAATTTATAATTTATATAATAGAATTTATTTTCGTTATTTATTTAAAAACTGAAAAATATGGAGTGCCATTTTATATAAGATATATATTTTTAGCACAGTGTAGCTATTTAAATTATGTGACTTTATAACTGTTTTGAAATCAGCAAATATTTAACATAAAATATGTTTTTAAAGCTAAATAAAGCTCGCATCAATTTCGACACTTTCGTTAGTTTGCTTTTATTTTTAGTAACTTTAGCAACTGAAGAAGACCTCTTCGGAAGACCTTTTAAAACCTAGCATTTGTCCGCTAATTAACCCACTGCATTCATGTGGCTCTCTTTTAATCACATCGCCTGATGGTAGTTGCCGGTTGCCCAAACCAAAGCAAATAGCTAAATACTCGAGTATCATGAGTGGAATTGGCTGCAGATCAGAAGGAAACCGGCTTGCGTGGCAATTGCTGCAATGTTGCCACTGGCAGCTGGTTGGTGGTTGCCAAATATTTGTGCAACGGAAACATGGCAACATGGAAATATTAGCAACAGCAACACCAAAGGCATTAACAACAAAACCAGCACCAGCCATCGATTGTTGTGCTTGCGTGTTGCCAGTTAATTGCAAATGCCGTACGTTTTAGCCAGATTTTGCAGTTCGATTGGTGAACAATAACAAAGAGACCATAATTCAATTAGAAGAACTATGCCGAAGTCGATCAGTCGTTGGCACGGAAGGTCACGCGTTAATTAAACAATAATAGACAATAAACGCGAGAAGCGACAGTAAAATGAATAACCGCTGGAGCAGCACGAGACTCGAGTCAATGAAAGCGAAATAATTAAATAATAAAGCCAAAACAAAGCTAACGCAAAATGTGAAACAAGAAACGAGAAAATCCCAAGCCGGTTTGTTTACGAGTTGAATGACTTTGCGTGTTCCATAAACTGATATACAAACAAAGCCAATTGAGCAAGTAATTTGTTGATTTTTGAATATCCTTTATGTTTTACAGCTTAAACTTGATATTCATTGAAATTACTATCAATAAGGGATAGTAAATGAATTGTCAAGTTCAGTTTAAAAACAAATGTATCGCGCCGAAAGTATATAGACATTTACCATTGATTTTTAAAATATTGATGTGGTGCTTTTAATTTCATAAAAATGGTTCAATTATGCTTTAATCGCTTATCTGGTATGGACTTTGTAAACTTGGAATTTCATGAAACTTTCCGATAAGAAATTTTAAGCAAGCTTTTCATGCTGACAAAGTCAACAAAATCATAATGATTAATAGTTCGTTATCTTATCCATAATGAGGTTTGTAAACTTTTACTCAAATTCATTGATATGTAAGCATTCAAGGAAGTCTGCTTCTGCTGGCCTAAGATTTATTTAACTATAAAAAGTATAATCTATTGATCGTGGTAACTCAGCTTAATAAATAATTTATTTACAAGCAACATAAAACCCAAATCTTGTAAATAACTATACTCAAATTACATTACTCAAATCGATTAGTTTAATGATCGAAAAAAAAACTCACGATATACAAATTATAACCGAGAATTTCTAGAATTAAGATGCAATTCAGAAAAATGATAAAGGTATTATAAAGTAATGGGATTCAAACCGAGCTAATAACGAGTTGCATTTCCTAGGTGAAAGAATTTATATAGACGTATTCCTAAATAAAGCACTCTTTCCAAAAAGCTTAGTAAACAATTTGCATTTGCGACAGTGCGGACACCAAAAAAGCTAATATTGACAGACCTTAGGGGTTGAAGTATGCAAATGTCGAATTGAATAACATGATTGGCACACAGTTTGCGATAAGAGGTATAGTGAGTTATGTGATACCCTAGAGATAATAATCTTTTACGAGGAAAGTAACTATTCACAGGCGAATCTCGGGAAAGCAACAATCTATTTATTATTAATAAGGTCAAAGTTATTATATAGAAATGTGGATAAGCAATGCTTTGTATATTTGAATAAAGAATAGGAATCCCAATAATTAAAAATAAAACAAAATCACTCACCTGCCCATTGGCCAAACTTATCCACAAGAGTCTTTGGCAAATGGGGCTGGAAATATGGCTCCAGCACCGCCTTGATAATGCTGATCAAGGACTTGAAGTTGTCATACAGAAAGGCGGCGATCGTCAGGGATCCCACAATGTAGATGACCGCGGAGACCAGCTGCCAAATGAACGCCATCCTGAGCAGCGTGTAGATGCTCACTTCCAGAACTGGCTGCATGTTAAAAGTGAAGAGCTCTCTTTATAGAGTCAAATAAACGAACTTTCGGGTTGGCGATAAGACCGAATCGAATGGCTTGTGGAACCCGAGCTTATCACTACACGCACTCGTGCTGATTATTTATAGTTACGCCGGGAATTACTAATTTACAATTGCCACTTTTTCGGTGGTGTGTCTGTCTGTCTTTTCTTCGGGAGCCACAAGTTGCAGGTTGAAGCGCCGATCACGCACTGAATTGAAACTTTTCAAGCCGCAACTTCGGGCTTTCGGTTTCGGGTTTTCGTTTTCGGATCTGGTCTTCAACGAGCCGCAATTACAGCGGAAAGGCCACTGCAGTTGGGGCTCTTTTCCGAGGTTTTACTCGCTTTTTGTCGGTTCATTATTTAATAAAAATTTTATTTACTTTTTTTGCCTTTACCGCGGACAGTCGTCGGTGTTTAGAGTCGCTGTAAATGATGATGAAAAACTACGTGTCTCTGGCGGGTGAATTATTTGACATTTAATTGCCACGAAAAGAGTTGACCCTCCAGAGACGATAGGTTTCCCTCTCAAAATCTGGGAATATTTTTATTCAACCTGCGTCGAGCTGTCGCAATTTCGACTTACTTGCTAAGGGCATAATCGGCTTACTTGCGGTGTAGTACTAATTGCAAACAATTAAGCGAAAGATGCGTCAAATTGGCTTTAGTCATGCAATGACCCCCGCCACCTTAGACAGTTTTCTTGTCATTTCACCTTATCTATTTTTTTGCATGTCTAAAAATGAGTACATTTTCGCTAAAAACTCTGAAATTGAGACAGTTTCCAGATACAAATTGGTGTTATTATTTTATCACACCTTTGGAGGTGATTAAAAAGTTGTGTAATTATAGAATAATTAATTTATTTATTTGATGCTCAGTTATCATTATTTCGTTCTGCGTACTCCTCCTACACTTATTTATAGTTGAACAAACCTCTTCCATTATCTTCTATATTCTCAATACCATGCGTTGTAATATATTATTATTGCTCTTATCAACTGCGGAACCAAGCTGAAATGTATTTCCGAACAACAAGTCTGGCACTGCGCTTCAGTGAAATATGAAAGATTCAATAAGTTTTTTATATATAATTATTTTTGCCGTCTACCATAAACTTTTAGTGTAAAAACGTCACATTGAGTTAATGCACTCGGCAATTAAATCAATTTTTCTGAATAAAAATGGTATTAAGGGTTAATGATAATGGAGTGTGTCTCTCAAATTGTTGATGTGTGAATATCTCCCACAATTATTATGGGCTGATCATTATTCCAAAGTGTGATTTGCAGATCTGTCACTTTTAAAATTCACTGCCTAAAAGTCAGAAAACTCAAAGGGCATACGGTTTTCAAATTCAATTTCTACTTGTTGCTCCAGTGTTTGTTCTGTTAATAGCGAAAGGCTTTTTCAAGTTCTTCAATATTGACCTTTAGCTTACTTAAGTTTATGTTTCACAAGCCATATTTATAAAAGACATTTTAGAGCACCATTAACATTAAAAAAGTAATTAAAACTCACGTTTATTTAATTCGGCACAAAATCAATATTTCATATATAAGAAACTTTTAGCTGCGGCCTGTCTAGCCGAATATTGATTACAGACTGAAAGTGGTGATAGAAAAGTTCTTTGATGAAGAAAATCAAAAGCTTTCTTCGATAGTTCTATATGTGGACAGTGTTGCCTTTCTAGTAAACTTAAGAATGTACCCATATTCACATTAAAATATTTGTAATATTTTGTATAATTTATTTAAACTAAACTTATTGAGATAATAAACATTAAACAAATTGTTTGCCTTTAAAAATGTGCCTAAAGTTTGAAAAATGCGTTAGAGTTCGACATTTCGAACTCATCGTAGCCAAGCCACAAACCACGTGTCAAGTTATAAACCTGCCTGAAATTGTGCTATAATTAATTTATCTTATTTTCCTATAAAATAGTTTTATAAGATTAAGACTCAAGATTTGGCAATCAGATATGTGAATCGCCTCGAAAACCACCCTAATGCTTTGGCCAGACACCTTAGAGGGAGACCCAGAACAAGACGATTAAAAAGATGCCATCCAATCGACCTTCCTAAAAGGGTCATAACATAAAACACTTAACAAATTCACATAACATAATACACATAACATATTACACATAACATAATACGCATAACATCATATTACACATAATACACAAAAATATAAATGTAAATATGTATGTAGGATATTGTATAGGTTGTACTTAATTTTTTTGTTTTTTGTTTTTAATATGAAACTAGATTAAGTTGCCTCAGCGGTATCAGAAAGCTAGTTAAAATCAAATAAACATTTAAAAAAAAAACAAAAAAAAAAATAAATAAAAAAATAAGATTAAGACTATTTTTACCCTTTAAAAAATTTAATTTTTCCAATAACAAACTCATGTGTTTATTTTAATTTGTAAATTCTTTGGACTTTGCTCAAATATTTTATCTATATAAATATTTAAGCCATAAGGGAAAGTAGCAAATATATACATGACTTTAAACATCTAAATCTTAAGATGTTTTAGGTACTCTTAGCCTCAAGCTTCTTTTGCTTGTACTCAATGCCCTCGAGCCTCAAGCGATCGAAAAGTCGGTGGACCAAGAGCGTGCGCAATTGTTGAGGAATCATCTTCAGGAAAAAAGTCTGAAATATTTTGTATTTTTGTAATAATTTATGACTTAATAAGATGCTAGTTTCTATGAGGTATTTTAAAAGGAATTATATTCATACTAGAAACAATTATTTCTACATTTTAATTAATTTTTTAAAGATATTCTAGAACAACGGTGCGTATGAGTGATATTATTTGAGCAGTTCCTAAATATTACTCATACGCACAGTATTCAAATTTATGCTTATAGTTTATAGTTGTTTTTTTTTTTTATCAATATTATGTTATTTAATTACCTGTACACTATGCACCCAGAAGCCGTTGGTCTCGTTCGTTTTTCCCAGTGTAAAAACGGCAGACCTGGCGTAGGTGCAAGCATTGGGGAATAGCAGACCACCTTGCATCACCTTATCCGAATAGGCGTTCATGTTGGTGCCGACGAAGCCGGGCATTACCAGTTGGACATTGATGTTGTGCTTGGCCACCTCCTGCTCTAATCCCTTGCTGAAATAGGACACAAACACCTTGCTGGCCGCATAGACAGTGAGATTGGGATGTGGCTGCAGCTCTGAGGTGGATCCTACGTTGACAATGATTCCATTGCGACGAGCAATCATCTGGGGCAGGATCTTGCGGGTGAGCATGGTGACGGATCCCATGTTGACGATCAGCAGATTCCACAGCACGTCCTCCGGCACTTGGTCAATAGTATCCGGATGTTCGTATATCATGCCCACATTATTGACTGTAGATTTATATTTTGTACAATTATATATTATACAAAAACCAATGCGTTATCCCTCATTTATCATTTCTTACCTAGAATTCCAACTTCAATGCCCTCCAATTCCTTTTCAATATGTTCATATACTTCACGTCCTTTGACAAAATCAGCAACAATCCACTTGATCTGCACTTTGTATTGGCTCTCTGCAATTAATCCGATTTAAATAAATATTTTAAACTTTTGAGATCTACTTAAAAATCTTACCTATCTCGTTGGTGACAGCGATGAGCTTCTCCTTCGTCCGTGAGATGAGCACCAGGTTAAGTCCTTGACGAGCCAGCTCTCGGGCATACTCCTTGCCAATGCCATCGGTGGATCCCGTTACCACTGAGAGATATTAAATTCAAAGTAAGTAACTACAAAAATTAACATTTTGTAATGTCATTCAATTAAATATCGTCATCTTATTAAATAAATAAATCTTTGTATATAGTTTAACTGCTGCTAGTCACCATTAAAAATCGTTTTTACATTAAAATAAAGGGCTTTTCATGCTGACAATACAATTAATAATAAAATTGATGAATCATGGTGAATGTCATAATGATAGTAAAATTGTATCTTATCTAACACGAGGATTGTCAAAGCTTGTATTAAAATATCAAAGTACCTCAATTTCATTGATAATTCGGATTATCAATATGTAGCAACTGCATGCTAGCGAAAGAGCGCAATGATTAGTATGTTTAGAGCTTGAGGTAAGTTAAGCTTTTCATGGTGACAATATAAAATAATGGAAAATCATAGTGACTATTGAATATATCTCTCAGATTAAGTGAAATTAGCAATGTTGGCTGTGCATGGTGACTTGTAAAAATTTAGTCAAACTGCACTTCGGACCTTTCGTCATTTTTGTTAAGTGATTTCTTAACTCAAATGAAATAAACTATTATTGACAGTCTCTTGAGGGTTAAATATGCCAATATTTGAAGTTTAATGATAATAAACTGAACTCAACCATAAGCTATACCAATGGATTGCCGTCAAAATTGATACCTTATCAAAATTTGAATTTCTGGAAAAAAGTTTGTAGGCCTGCCATTAAACAACTTAAAATGAAATAAAAAAAACTTACTTTTAATTATATAATTACAGACAATGGGCTTAATGAATAAATTATAATATAAACACTCACCTGCCCATTTACCGTACTTTTCTATTAAAGTTTTTGGCAATTTTGGGTGGAAATGTGGTAGAAGGACTGCCTTAATTATACTAATCAAGGACTTGAAGTTGTCGTAGAAAAAGGCAAGAGTACAGAGGGATCCCACCAAAGAGATCAGCTGCCAAAAGAACGCCATAGCTTGCTGGATGTAAGAGCTTACTTATAGAACTGGCTGCTTTATTAAGAGAGTTCTCTTTATATAGGCCTTATGTCAACGATAAGAGAATAATGAAAAAGATAAGAGAATATTGAATGAATTACGGAACCAGTACTTATCATTGCACCGAAACAATTTATGGATTTATAAAGAATATTATTGGTTTTTATTTAAAGTATAGATATATTATTATTATTTATTAACGTACTAAGTATTTATATATATAATAAGTGCATTTTCTTTTCCATATTTATATAAATTAATATATTCTGATATATGAAAATAATATAAATATTGATATCAAACTGACAGTCAAGGAGAAAAGCGTTTTTTAGTTAGAAAATAAAAATTATTCTTCAAAAACTTGTACTGCATTTTTCAAAAAAATAACTGATATGAATTTTATTTTTTAGTAAATTTTATTCTCTTTTATATACTTTTATATACTGAAAAATAATCAATCTAAAATTTTGAGTAATCCTTAGATGAGTCAAATTAGGAATAATGCCACAGCCTAAAACTGTGCTCATTTTATTTACAAAATAAACATTTTTTGTTTATTTCAAAACTACATTTTTACAAAGGCAAAACAATTTGGTAAATTCTATTTCTGCTTCTTTTTGTCCGTCATGCCGGAGAAAATTTTTACGGCCATAAAGACACGAACCCGCCAGGAGAAAAGTGTAGTAACAGCGTTCTGAATATGATGCCACAGATGACCCGGCGTCTCGTCCACACCATCTCTTAGCTGATTTACTGCACTCTGAGCGTAAGACTCCGCCGTGGGAATGAACAGGCCGCCCTTCATGATTCGTTTCGAGTACGAGTTGATCTTGGTCACCACGAAATTGGGGGACAGGAGCTGGACATGGATCCCAAAGGGCTTGGCCTCAACATGCAGAGCCAGAGTGAAGCTGCGGTTATACGCCTTCGAGGCGGCATAGTAGGCGGCGTAGGGCAGTGGCTGCAGTTCCGTTCCGGAACTCACATTGACGATGGCTCCCCGGATTTTTGCTGCCTTCATGCGCTGAAAGAAGATGCGGGACAGCTGCGAAACGGCCACCACATTGGTATCGATAATGTCTTGGGTGGATTCCTGGGTCCATTTCAGAACAGAACTAGGCGTACCAATTCCAACATTGTTAACTATAAATGGGATGGGATTTTGATTATTAATTTTAATTTATATTTTTATTAAATTTGTATTACTAATGTGTCTTACTTACTTAGTATGGATATTGGTATATCAGCCAGTTCTTTTTCTATATGCTCATAGACCTTCGAGCCCTTGGTAAAGTCAGCAATCACGATTTTGGTCTGCACTTTGCTCTCGCTTTCTGTTTGTATAAAAATGTAGCAATAAAAGTAGATATTTGAAATTATGATACATGAACTTGATAATTTGAATCAACCTGCCGAGTCTGCAAATGACAATGCAAGTATGGTTATTGAAAACAAAAAAGTCCATTGCATGACTTTAAAATGCCGTTTCGACAGGTGCTTTGCGTGTTCTTTTAAATTGCCGTGATTTTTTTAAACAAATATGGATTTATTTTCCAGCTAACGGGAGCAATCAAAGTCAATGTTGAAACAGAGCGACAATTTATATTTTGGATGCGATAATTGTACATTTTTAACAACTTTATTGTCGTTTAATTTGACTACTCAAAATTTATTTTTCTGCTATATTTAATTTAAATATTTTTGTATTTATTTTTCATTAGATTTTCCATATATAAAGAAATTTAGTAATATATATAAATATGTATATAATCTTTTAATCAAAAGGTAATAGTCATGCAAGCCCATTGATTAGAAGGGGTTAATCTAACATGTTTATTATCTGTCCACCTTTAGACTCACCGATTTCCTTCACAACCGCCTGGAGCTTCTCCTCGTTCCTAGCGATCAAGACGACATTGATGCCCTGCCGGGCCAGCTCCTTGGCGTATTCCTTGCCGATGCCATCGCTGCTGCCCGTAATGGCTGCCCAGTCGCCGTAGCGTTCCTTGAGCGTGGGCCTCTGGCTTGGATCGCCAAAATACCTAAGTTTGAGCAGTCTATACGGCGTTCGCAGCTGCTCGTACAGATAAGAGGCCAGGGCATAGAGCCCTACGTAGGCCAGGAACGTTGATAAGCAGCAGAGCATTTTGGTTGCCGAGAATAATTCTATTTATTTGAATTTGATTGCTCGGACAAAGAGTATGGGACCGACGCGATCGACTCCCTGCTACGGACTGTGGTCACGGAGCAATTGTACACTTTTCGCCGGACAGGGCATTGAATTTAAATGGTGTGCATTAATGGAAGTGCGACTGCGATAAAGAGGTGTTCGACTCGCCGGTAAATGAGCGCCAAAAGAATCCATTTTTATCACTTGGTTGAGTCGCGAATATTGCTATTACGACATGTTCGGTTATCGCTCTCACAATTTGATATTGCTTTTATAATAGTAGTTTCTGTGGGCTCTCTTGATTGCAAATTGACAAATTAAAATAGATTTGGGAGGGGCCGCGTACATTGACCTGGATTTGTTTGTTGACAAGGTCGCGTTTTGCGAGTCAGATTCTCAGTTAACACAAAGGGTCAGAAATCATCAATGCCTAATGGAGAAAGTCAACAACAAAAGCCAAAATAAAAAATATGTTTAAGTCGAGATTAAAATGTATCATAGAGGCTTCATTCTTTACAATTTATTTCTATGATGATTGCGGTATTAATCTGGATAAATTTCAGAGTTTAACTAGGTACTTTCAAATTGCTTCTATATTTATTCCTTACCCCTTAGCACATCTTCATCATTTCATTAAACTCTAATACCAATTTGAAAAGAATAAAGAAGTATATTTCACCAACAGGCATCCTTCAGAGTCAGTCACCTTCTAATCCGCAAAACCCCTGCCAAGGATGACATCATTGGCCGCTGATCCTTTGTTCGCCAAAAGTGCACTCTATACACACAGAACACTCGCACATCTCACAATTACCGCCTTACCAGCATTCATAAATTAGGGAGGGCCCAGAAAATGGAATTTTACAAAACGCTAAGTACACACACACGCCCCCAGGCCAGACAGGGGATTCCCCCTTTTGGCGTGTAAGGAAATCGGGTAACGGATATGGCGATGGAAAGCTGGGAATCGAACTGCGGAACAAGAGCACGACATGGGTTATATATCAAGCATGTGTGTGCCGACAGACATTTTTGGCTGCTAGCAAATCCATTTTGAAAAATATATTCTCTGCCATTTTTCCTCGTTTTTGGCCGCCACAAAAACCGCATTTATTCAAGTGTCAAATAAATTCATAGTTTTTGGGCTCGAAAAAAAATAAAAATAAAACGAGAAGAGTAAGGCGAGGGCGTCGACTGTTGGCGTTGGCCAACTAATTAAGTCGAATGGTTTTAAGGCCAGGCCAGAAAACCGCCAAAAACTCATTCGAACCTAATGGCAGCCAGAAAATGTGCAGCAATATGACCACCTCCTTCAAAAATCCACAGACGCCAAAAAGTATGCGGCCATTTTTAGAAAATATATATATAATGTATATGTGAGTGAGAGGGGCAACTTATGCTAATCACATTTAATTGCTTTTTAAGCGCACTTTCTGGCAGTTCAACTAATTAATGTGACTCACACGCACTCTGGAATATAGAAGGGAACTTAATTCCCGGCGAGTGCAGTCATGAGCTTAAATAAATAGCCCAGAAAAGCTGAAACATTGCAGGCGAATGGCGCCAGTTCCGAGTTCAAGGCACATATGCCAAGATAAGGACCTCATCTCGGCCAAATCCCACAGAGTGGGAGGCATTGTCAAGAAGTCAAACAATTTGAATTATGCCTCGCAATTTGTATATCCGTTTTGAGTTGGCCCAAAACTCTGCGAGTCCTTTGCCCACTCCAAAAGTCTAGTTCTGTCTTTGCTATATTTTTATATATGAGGGAAATTATTGTTTGCTTTGTTTCGCGATTGCCGCTGGCGGTTATTTTATTTTGATTCATACCCGTATAAGCAAGCTCATGTAATGCTCATTTTTACAGATTTTTATTGTGGTTATTATTGCATTTATGTTTCTTGAGGGCAACGAAATTACATTGGTAAATTTTGTGGTTAAGGTTAGTCTCCAAGTACTGAAACTTAAGTTTGACTCTATGCCAAATGGCAAATATGTAGCATTAATAGCATGACTCTATTACTTTACACATTCAAAAATATTTATTTAAAATATAAACACATTCTGGTAGAATATATTGTAATATTAAAACAAAGTTTAACTAAGGTTTACCTGCCCTAAACATAACTATAAAAACATACATTTTCTCTTTATTTTTGCATTCATTTTTTCTAGTTAAAAAAGAAAAACATCAAAAATACGAAAACATTCCACTTTCCCCTATCTACATACCCCACTAATTCCCCCAATTAATTGTCCTGGCATCTATTTACCACGCTCTCTAATCTCTGACATATCGTTAAAGCGCATTGCCGGCACTGCCGACTGCTGACTACTGACTGTTGACTAGCAGGATGCTTAAGGATGTTTATGTCAGGCACTGAATTTTAAGTAGATCCAAAGGAGGCTTGGCTCGTCGCATCGACAAAAAAAAAAACGAAGCCGTCACCAGCAAAAAAGAGTTGTCAAGTGAATTCGTGACGGGCAAAAAGGGGGGAGAATTATTCCGTATCCTTGAAATAAGGATTCGCCCCTTAAATGGCGCATGAAAATTAGCAAGTTGTCTGTCGTCTGCCATTATGCGGCACACTTTGAATGGCATCTCCCGGAATTTGCACTCCATTTTTTTGATGGTCGGACATTTAAGGCCAAAGGGATTAAACGGTTCTGTAGTCAACAGTTAATTAGCAGTTTGTGGTTATCGCAAAAAATATTTGTTCATTTTTTGTTTTCCACTTTTTGGGAGGAACAACTTTTGCCCATAAAAGCGCAATCAGCGGCTAAGTTATGTCCAGGATGCGGACTCACATATCCCGACGCCACCTGTTTGAGACCCTCGAGGCAAAGTGCTGGCCATAAAAAATGACTAACGATTAAGCCAAAGAGGAGAACAGACCGAAAAGACCAGCAGTGGCAGCAAGTGTCGTTTTGAAAAATTCAAATCTCGTTGCCAATAAAAGCCAATAAAACTCGTAAAATAACTCAAACACGGGAGCGGGTGGATGCTCCCAGTGCGGATGCTGCTCGTTCAAGTGTTTTGTGTCGCAATGTTGCGGTTGGCCATAACCATCCAGTGAGTCCTACGACTTTTGGGGGGTTTCAAGTTGATCTGTGAAGTTGCAGATGCATTTAGTTGCTTCTCCGCATATATTTATAGCGGACTCTGACGAGGATGAGGATGTCATCGTTCCCATGACCGAAAATAGCCGTGCAATTGGATGTGGCGTCTACACCTGTTGGGAATATGTCGCGTCGGGAAATGTTGACTGGCGCAGTCTATTCCAATTATTAAGACATACGAGAAAGTGCTGTTTATGTTCATGTACTTGGAGGTATTTTTAACTTTAAGAGTTGATGATTGAGTTAATACAGTTACTGATTTCTTTCTTTTTATTTAAAGATTTGTTTTATTTGCCTAGATGACCCTCTCAAGTATGCAACCAGGATTTTGTATCAATCAAGTGGTTCTGTTACCAATTTACAGGTAGGGCACAAATCACGACGACTCTGACAACAACGGTGAAACTTTTCGCAACGACAACTCCAACAACTTCTTGCCCTGATTCCGCAGAAGAAGCCAAAAGTGTATAAAGCTCAGATCAGGCCCCGATGAGGAAAATCAAAGAAGAGCCCATGCAGGCCCAGTTGAATGCAAATGACAAATGCTTTCGCGTATTTTTCTGTGATTTTCCACTGCCGCCCTGCACTTCGCCGCATAGAAAACGCATTTTGAATGCAGACGCGACGAGTGACCGACAGAGTAAACAAGGCGAATTAAATTAAAATGCGGATGGTGTGCCCCCAAGTTGGTGCTCCTCAAGCCGTACTTCTTAGCTTAGTATATATATCTATATATATATATATATATGTATTTGGTAAAAGTTCCCCCTGACGCATTGGCCGATATTTGAAGTGCATTTGGTGGCGCTGGGCAGACGATTCCTGGCGCTATCGCGATGCCAAATACGCGGCCAGGCAAAAAATCGCCGACAGCGACAAAACAAAATAAATATAGAGACAGAAAAAGGATACAGTGTTCTGGGAGTGGAAACGAATATTCAAACGTTTTCGCATCCTGTCAGAGGATGCCAGCAAGCGGCAAAAACAATTTCGTGCATTTAAATGCCAGCACATGGAATGGTATGGCATTATATGGAATGAGATGATTCTTTCTTTATGGCATTTCCCCCAGCTCGAAGAGATGCGGATGCGCCTTTGCCAGGAAAGAAAAATATTGTCTAAAAGCGAAATGTCGCTTTGTTTCGCCCTTCTGGCCAAGCGTGGCGCGTACAAAACACATAAATCTCGGCATATGTGCATTAAATTGCCATCCCTTGGAATCTGCTAAAGTTTTTCCCAAAAAAACATACTTTAATTGCCACTTCAATATTCAATTGTTTTTCTATCCGGTTAGTTTGCACCTTCCATAGCTGCTCGCTGCTCTGTCTGTTCTGGCTGTTCCTCCTGCCTTTGGCCAGCTTAATGACCCGAAAACTTTTCGATAATGTGGGTGACTCTTGATTGTCCTCGGCACTTTGTGCGGGCTTAGGAAATTATCAACTCAACGCCTTCAGAGCAAAAAAGCTGGAAACCTAAAAACGAAAAACGGATGGAAGGTAATTTCCAGGAAAGCGATTAGAAATTCCTTTCGCTGGCAAAAAGAAGGATAAAGCCAAACGGTTGAAGTAGTTAGGAAAAAAGGATTTAAAGATAAGGCCAACAGACTAACATATTAGGCAAAGACCAACAAATATTTGGTAATGCCTAAGGGATTAACATCGTGTTCTAGTAAAGTCGGGCTTAATTAAATTTATAGTCTGTAAGGAAATAAGCAATATATACTACATCTAATTAATTTTTTTTAAATAACGTATGTAATGTAATGTCAATTCAAAATTTTTGAAACTGGAAAACTTATAACAAAGGTTGTCAACCCTTAGATTTAAGTGTTTCTATTGAATCGGTAATTCTGGACACCCTTTCTTAACTCTTCCGTTTGGTCCTTGGTCCTTTGGTTACCACAAGAAAAAAATAAAAACACTGCGGTTTTTCCTGCCATCGCAAGTACAACCCTTTC